GGAGACCTTGTCTGTTGATTTAACTCCATAACCCTATTTTAACCACTGTCAACAAGATATAAGGGTGGTTTCTATTTACACTGAGGCTCCTTTACGTTGCTGTATCCACACCCTGAAGTGGCATAAATGTCTTCTAAGTGCCTTAAAGTAGGTCCTTAGTAGAAATGAGAACCAACCCTGTCGTTTTCAAAATGGCTGTGAAAACATTGCCTGCATCCATCCTATAAATGTCTGTGGGTTTTTGGAAGAACACCCATCCCAAGGCATGCCCATGCTATACATAGCCTCTGATGAGCTCTGCAGGATGAGGGACAGGCAGGAAGACAGGCAACAAGATGTTTCTCCCAGAATGGTGAGCAGGGAGAGCCTCTGCACCTTGGAATAAACTTTGAGGCAGCATTTAGCCCCAAATCAGAAGTACAACATAGGAAACCAGGAGTGCCACGTCTCCTTCTTTTGACTTCTACCTTCTTTTGGATCCAGTGCTTGTTTTTCCTCTCCTGTCACATACATTCAGCCTTCCATCTTTTACAACTTCTCCATTAAACCATAGACCTGAACCCTACAGCCAACTGAATCAAAACACGTATTTTTCCCTTTACCTCTTCTGCTCCAAGTGCTCACTTACCTGGTTTGCACACCTGATGTTTAGAATGAGAACACAGCTGCTTGCACTGTCATTCCCACATGGCACTCCCAGTCACACCACTGTTTGGTGGATAAGCACTGGATTAAGCATGCTGCTCAAACAGGAGACAACAGTTAGCAAAATCAGAAAGAGCATCACAGCATCAGGAGCCAAGACATACACAGAAAACATCAGCCTTCAGTTTTAATACGTAGTTTTCCTCCGGAGGAAAATGAGAAGCTAAATTTTGACCAAAATAATAATAATAAAAAAAAATGTACTGTGGGGCTTTTTGTAGCACTAGCAAATTGGAATTGGAATAACTGTCATAATCAGCAGGATGCTCTCTGCAATCTAAGCATTATCATGAGATTTAAGGCCAATTTCTGCTCACTATTAATCTTCCCCAGCACAGAGGCAGTCAAGAAAGCAAGCAGAAACTAAGCATGAGCAAGTCCAAATGGGCAGTTTGTAATTGCAGATTATCTCTGCAACTTTCCTTCTGCAGAAATCACCAGCCCAGCAGTGCTGACCATTGGTTCAGCTCTACCTGTACCAGGCCAGCCCTGGACTAATGCAAACACTGCTGTATTTTATGCTGATCTTATTCCATATGTAACAGAAAGTAGTTGTTTTCATGGCCCTCACGTCAATCAGGACTCCCTCCAGTGGCTCAGCCTGCCTTTTTGGTCTGAAGCCATCTGGTGCTTGTTGCTTGGAATCTGAGTTATAAAGCTCCGTCATCTTATTCTTTTAACCAAGATAGTATTGAATGAGTATGAAACAACTTGGTTTCATTTGTGGGACCGTGGGCGCAGATGAGCTCAGAGAAAATTTCAAGAGGAGAATTTAAAAATCTATATATTTTTCCCTTAAAAAAAAATACATTTATTAACAGCCTGATCAGGAAGAAGAGAGTTAGTCTCATTCTTATTTTGCACTATTACTTCATTAACCACTCTTATCCAACGCTTCCATTTACTACAACTTGTATATTACAGGGGCTCAAAAGACAGACGTGCATTTTCCTTTACTCCTAGGATGTGAAGAAGGATACATCTTATTCCTGATAGGGTAAAGATTGACTTTTAAAGCCTGGGCACCAGAAAGATTTATTTATTTGTCTGCAGAACAGCCTCCAAACATCTCAATCTAACATCTCCAGGTATTCTAACTCTAGTTCCCAGGAGCAATCCCAAATAGCTCAGGCTCAGTCTTCTCAATAAAACCATTAATGACAAGGGTGGCATTCATTTGGGGGAGGTTTTATTTCACAAATAATTCAGAAATAAAAAGAAAATGGGGGGAAGGGAGAGGGGAGGGAACAGATATTTTACAATTCTGTATTTAGAAAAAAATATATATATAGTTTATAAACAAACACACAGCCCCTCGAAAAACATGCAAAGGCACACAAAAATTTACAAGAAACTTTTATACATAGGAAGTAGTAAAATACATCATTTTTCATAGAAAAAAAAAAAAAAGCAACTCTATGAACTGGCCCTAAATACGTAGACTGCACAACTGACCAAGTACACGATTGGAGGCTCTTCAACCACCTGCTGGCTGAATGACTGCCGATGACTTAAAATGAAGAAGTTAATGGAGCCAGCAGACCTGAGTGCATGCTGGCAGCTGGGTTAGCTAGAACAACCACACAGCATCAGCTTTGCCATGAGTTTAACCATGGCTGCACCCAGGTGCTTTAGTTGGCATGTGCATACTAATCTGCTGAGCTAGGGTCTAAGGAGGAACGTGTCTGGAGATGTAAAGACCTGCTGTGTCTTTAAGCTGCATAGAAATATATTAGGCTAAGAAATGTTTTGGTATTAGAAGTAAAATCAGTAAATATTTGGCTAAAAACTGGTACTGTCCCACCTATAGGTGAATAGTTAGCACACGTGATTACAAGTGATATATCATTACTGTCTCGGAGGACCTGATCGCACCTAATTCTGGTGGAGGTATGTTTAAATTAATAGCACCCAGGACCTCAAATAATATTTGCGTAGTAAAGTCACAATTTCTCTTTTGTACAACAAATATAAAAATAAACAGACAGACTTAAATTAAGACCAGTTTCTAAAAACCCAAACCAGTTGGCTGAAGATAAAAATATGCAACTTTAACTTGAATTAAGCATTTTAAGATATTTCTGTTGGAATGATAATTCCTACCTTTCTCTTTTTCCATCAGGTAGATACATCCCAAGCTATTTGGATCTGTATGTGCTCTACATTAATCCTCTAGGCTTTTCTCCAAGAGCCTTCACATTTATTTCCACTATTTTACAGCATACACAATTGTCACGGACAACATATTAGAGGTGGGATCCTACACTGGTTTTGAGGCATTTTATGTGCTCTTACAATCTGCATGAAGTCAGTGGGAAGGAGGCCCCTGGATACCTAATGTCATCTCTTACACTTTCCACTTCAGCCAATGGCCCTGTGGCTACCATTTGGCCTTTGATGGTTGTAGATTCATGCTGCAGCATTTAACGGGCTTGAGCTAGACCGCGTACAGCACAATTAATCACAGTGGGCATGAACAGGGAAGCCTTATCTCACTGCCAAGATCTCAAATGCTTCCAATCAGCAGTTTTTCTATGATATGTTCCAGCTGTTTTTAACATCATTTTACCTACTGAGAAAATACAAGTATTACTTTTTCATATCTAAAGCTGCACACCTTGGAAGGCAACACCATAGAAACAAAGGTGAAACAAAGTCATTTCTCTGTATTTCTCCAAAGCTAGGCTTGCTGTGCAGCCTTTGTGTTTGGAGACAACACAAAGCAGTTCCAACTTCATATTTTACAAAAGGTCAGATTTCAGAGAGAAACCCCAGCGGAGAGACAAATTGAGTGATAAATGTAATTTCTCTGCTGATTTCACGGCATTTGCACAATTTAAGAAGTGCTTAATTTTTGGTCTGTGTTTTGAAACAGCTTGAAGACATGGCTTTTAGATCTTTCTAGATTAAACTGAACACAGCCTGAGCCTAAGAATGGCTAGGAGACATCTGCCAACTAGCATGAAGTATTTCCCAATTTGTTATATGATATTACAATCAAGTTAACAAGCAGAGACTCTCTGTTTACAAGGACTGAAGAGCTAAAATTTATGTTGCCTTCTCATGAGCAATGAGGTTACTGGATTTTGTGCATCAAAAGACAACCAGCCTTGTGTTTACACCAAGCCTAAAGTAAATTTCCTATCTGAAACAAAGGATACTCTCTAGCCTTAAAGAGTAGCTCAGGTCAGGCTGTTTTCTTGGCTCTGAAATGCATTTGGATGCATATTCAGACATCACTAACAAAACATTAAATAATGTCATGAAAATACCGATGGGTTTTGCAAAACAACATCGTGGATGTTAAACGCTCAAGGTACAGCATTTACACTGAAAGGTGGGATCCGACATTGTCAAAAACAGTGTAAAAAACTCATCCATCCCAACTTATATCATATCCTCAAAGTCTCAGAACTGCACACACAACTACAAAGAGCTTCACAAAGGTACAGTGAACATGCTTCCTATGGATGCAATCATTCCTAGCAAAAAATAAGATTAACATTATCTCTACTCTACTACTACAGATAAAACAACCAGCACTGCTGTATAAATACGCTGCATTTAACTGAAATTTTATTGTAAATGGCATGTAATATAATATGAGATGTGCCAGCACAGGAGCCCCACTTCACTGACTTCTCATGGGTTACCAGACTTGCAAAGTACCTGCAAATGTTTGACCAGCAAACACTAAACCTGCTGTTGCGATTATGGGGTGGCCTCATTTTCTGCAGCAAGGATCTCTGCCACCATCTCATGTCCCACTCCAGTGCCCAGAAATCCCCAATGTCTGGTCGACAGAAACATCCTCTCCCCCTCCATACAACTTGGCCAAGTTCAACACCGCAGCAGCCAACATGGCGGCACCGATGCATCTCACCTCATTAGGAAAATACCAAATGCTCTCTTCTTTTGCACACGAATCATCAAACAAAAACAAATCTCAATCTACTCAATCGCAGCCCAACCTCTCCCCAAAAGATGCGGCTTTTAAAACAGTTTCTCATCTCAGAAGGCCCAGCGCATGGACAGTCGCTCATTTCTGAGTCCATATGTCATCCTGTCCATTGGAGAAGATGCTTCACGCTCCAAAAAAGGCATCCAAGGCCAGGTCAAGGTCCCTATGGCTGCTGTACATTGAGCCACTGCAGTTCTGTGCAGCACACCTCTCTCTTAAATTGAAAGTAAGAACAGTTTATCATTGCTGAATGCCCCTAGAGGAAAAAAACAAAAAGATACAACGCTGAACGGTGCGATGAGATGCAAACAGCTGAGTCAGAACCTGGTGTCCATTTTTTTTTTTTTGTCTTTTTTTTTTTTTTCTTTTCTTTTCTAATTCCCTGAAAGAGATTGGCAAGGAGGGTATGTTCAGAGCTGATGCTTTCAGAGGAGCCTTCCTGTCTCTGGAGATCAACGGAGCGCTCTCCTGAAGAAACTTGCACCTTCCCTAGGAATTTACTGCTTCACGGCAAAAATTCGGAAAGCATTTCCATCTGAAGGACTCCTCAAGCTGGGAAAAAAAAGAAAAGAAAAGAAAATGAACCAAATGCAAGCATGGTAACTACAGGACCTGCAGTCACCTCTGAATTTCTTTGAGGTACACTGATTCAGTCCCAGCGGGAGATGCTGCAGGCCAGGGGAAAGACAAAGGTGAGAAAGAAGAGGCAGAAATCTCTCTTTTCACATCTGGTTTATGCTTTCAGGAAAAAACAAACAAACAAACAAACAAACAAAAAAAAAAAACACAACCCACAAAAACTACATTCAAATGCCCACAGAAGGGACTGGGAAGCAAACAGCTCTCTTACAATGCTAGCTTTTATCTGGGGGTCATTACGATGCCTATGGTTTGTGCATAAAGAGAAACATGTTTCACCAAAAGCACTAGTCAATTAGGCTGGCAGGTTCCCAGGGCTCTTCTGGCCCATCTTCAGGTGCCAACAGTGGGAGCAGAGAGGCAACCAATATGTATTTTCATTTTCCATCTTCAGAGCTGCCCCCAAAAGATTGAACAAAGGGTTTGCTTGTGTTCCCAGCCCTGCTGTGCTGCACAATCCCAGCAGAAAGGCAAAATGTCCTATCTCCTGCAAAGTGCATGTTCTAACAAGGGTGAAGACTCAGAAGAACTTTTGTTGTACAAAAGTAGATCTTGCTCAATAGGCAACCCTATCCACTACCTGTTTGGACACATATCTTTACCAAATCCTATATCCAACATCTTGTACCAAGTTCTCACCTTGATCTTTGAAATGATTCCACCATCCTGTGGGTTTTACAGCACAGAGGTGCTCCTTATCACTGACTGGAAATAACACTTTCCAAATCTTCATATCATCCCTACTGCTAGAGCATCTTTGGTTTCCCTCAGCTCCCACATCAGCACCTGGTGCTCACATGATGTGTCACTGCTAGAGGGATAATTTATTCTTAGCTTTGCCAGAGCTTTTCGTGCAAGCAAGAAGTTCTCTGTTAGTATAAAAAGATAAGCAAAAGAAGGACAAAGGCGGAAGAAAACTCATAGTAACAGTGTTTTTTGTGATGTAAATGCAAGCTGAAAGCAAATCTGTCAGACTGCAGATCTGATGATCAAAATGCTGATCCTGGTTGCTAAAGCCATATTTTACGTCTAACGCTTTCCTGTCTTAGCTTTTCTGTTTTGACTTTTCTTTCCTGAGATGCTCCACAGCACTTTGTGATATTCATTGTTAGAATAAAAATATCAAACTTATTCAGATTGCTTACAGTTAATAAAAGAGGAACCACACAGAGCAGACAGAACCATGCTAGTAGTGATCAAAACCCACACAGCAGTGGCAAAAGTTGTTTACAAAGATAGAGAAATCAGCATCATCACACCAACGTGTGGAAAAGTGCATCACAAACTGAACCAGAAATAGAAAATGAGGAAGGACTGAAAGAGTTACAGTGGCATCGCTGTGATCTCTCTGGAGGTGCAGAGTTTTGGAGACATTGAGTTGCCATTTTTCACCCAAACACCATGGTTAGACCAGAATAAGCTCTGGAAAGTTACAAGACTAGAAAATCCATCTTCAAAACCTGCCTGATCACCTCTGTAGGTATTAATTTACTCATCCTTCTTTTGGTGAGAATTAAGGAAATTAATTAACACGACCCACAAACCAGAGTTCAATGGAAATCTCAGTAAGACTTAAAGCATTACCCAGACTGAACACTGCAGAAACACGCATGTTTATCTTTCAGATAAATAAGTTTGGAAACTTTCTTCTTTAGAATTTAGAATAGTGCTCTTAGATCTTAGAATTATCTTAGAATACCTCCTAAGCGTTGTCCAATACTAACTGCTGGACTAATTACAACAGTGAATTTTAATGATATATATATATATGGCAAAATGTATTAACAGCGTTGCATCCCTAAATAAAAAATTACTTAACAGTATTTTGCACCCTTCACGCTGATCTGAGAGCAGTCTTCCACTTGTGGGAGGTGAGGGCAGGACAACACGCTCTATTTGCTTGAAATATCTTGAAATTCACAGTGATGCTCCTAAGCCGTGTTTCCACCCCACCAGCACTGCTAGCTGATATCCACTGACTTTGACATAAAATTGAATGTACAATCAAACACACCACTGAGAAAAAGAGAAAAGTGGAAAGAAAAATGTCCCACCTCTCAGACTGGACTCCATTCTTTAGGGAGCCGACGTAACTTTTCTTCTTTTCTACGGGCATCACATCCACAAAGCCACCTTCTTCATCTGCAATGACTCCTGCGTGCACTGCACTTTTGCAGATACTGGAGCTCTGAAAAACACGCCAGCATTTTCACTTCCAAAAATCTGTATTTTACATCTGGATATTTACCTTCCTCATCAGCATCACGTATAAGAGGAGAATAAAAAAGAGTGGAGCCAAAAAGCTATGAAACAATTCTGCCATTCTTAAGGATGATCACGGGTCAGATCTTGTGGGTCCAGGTCTCAAATGCAGAAGTGGAATGGGTGCAAGAAGATCCAGCACTGCTGCAGAGGACAAACAGCTGTTCCTGTGGCAGAGCTGTGCCTGGGACCCTGTCCAGGGCCAAAGCTGACTCAAGGGCAGATTTCCAGCCAGTGACTTTTTTGTCTGCACTGGAGAAACCACAGTGGTGAGACCTCTTTCCTATTGACCAGCCACCTTGGCAGACCTTAGTCACCAGGTCTCTTGAAAAGCAGACACTCTTCCTGCATTAAGCTAAATGACCTCAAATTATCCGAGAGAGTTCACGTCCTTCTTTCTAGGAAAAACAGAATGGCTGCACCCACAGAGTGGAGTAGGCTTTGGGTAGCTGGATAGCCTCATTAGTTGGGTAGCCCATTGTCCCACTAGTTGGATAAACCATCGCAGCACAAGGCTACGCTGAGCTCAGGGGGATGTTAACACTTCTGGAAAGATTAAGACTTCTCCATCACGCTGCTCTCCTCAGTGTGCAGAGTCAGAAGAGTAGGAGGAACGCAAACATGAACAAATGATGACTAAGTTCCCAAAGCATCCAGGAAACAGAGTAAAAGCAGACGAGGTTTAGGCATACTATAAACTTGGCTATCAACTCTCTAAAGGATTTACATACAGCAAGCTGGAGCAACGACAAACAAAAATCAGCTTTGCACAGGGAACTGCAGCAGGTGAAAATCCCAACCCTATAAACTCCCTAATGGCTAAAAACCAAACTACCTCAGAACCAGTGCCAAGGGCAAACGTTCCCATCACCTATGTACAATACAGACCTTCTTGCAGCCATATATGGCAGGTTTGCCTTGTCCCCTATATATTTATCACTTTGGATAGCCTATCTCCTGGCAGCTCCCTGAATTTTGAGTGCCAATTTGGTATTTTACTTCTATAAATGGGCAAGGGAACAGTCTGTTTAGAAGGTATGCTGCAAATTTGCCCAAGTATGCAGTGGGAAATCTGCAAATCTAAAATTGGCTCATAAAATTAAGCTGTCCTGAATCAATTTGCAACACTCTCCACTGGGAGACATCCTAAACGATGTACTTCTGTTTTTTCCAGGACTTGCTGTTCTGCTGCTTGTTCAAACCTTTGACCAGAAGGCTTTTTATTGCCTTCCCAAATCCTCCTCTTATCACTTTGTTGGATCACTATCCTTTTCCATCCCAGTCCAAGTTTTGCTTTGATGCATTGCACACAGAGCTTTTGGAAGATGAGTCATTACGAGAATAAAGGCTTTTCCTCTCAAAGCCAGAAGTACGACAACAGCACAGACAACGCGATGGCTTTCCATGGCGTGGCCCTTTTGCGTCTGCATCAACACGATGCAGGTCTCCTGGGATGCTCTGAGAGCTTTTCCCGCTGAAGTGGACTCTGAAGCACACACCATAAAATGACAATACTTCTTTATAGCGGGCCATTAGCAAGAGACTGAGACTTCACCCATAATTTCCTCATTAGTGGGACTGGTTTAATCATTAAGTTCCTTTCTCAAGAGGGTTGAGCCAGCCAGCTTGGTTAGCACGGGTGATAAACGTCTCCTTTGTTATGTAAGTGATCAATCCTCCTTCAGCTAATTGCCACAGAGTTGTGGATAAAGAGCCTTATCTCAAGAGCAGAGAGCCGTTTTCCCTCCCAGATCCATAGGGCTCCTGGGCAGAGATGAGGAGACGTCGCACTCAAGAGTCAGGCAGAATGACCAGTGACAGTGTCTTGCAGAAATTAAAAGCTCTTTTACAGCCCTGATAAAGCTCCCTAGGTGTTCACACAGCTCCAGCATCTCCTTAAAAACTGGGCAGCTCTTCAGCACAACCTCGTGCTGATAGACACTTCTGTCCTTCCTCCCCCATTTTTCTAACTCAGAAACCTCACCATGAGGTTGACCATGCATGGTCAGGTCACAGAATGGCTTGGGTTGGAAGGGAGCTGAAAAGTTATCCAGTTCCAACCCCTCTGCCATGGGCAGGGTTGCCAACCACTAGATCAGGTACTGGATGCTAACAGGCCAAAGAGCACCTGGAAGAGCACTGATCAGAGACAGTGCAAAACACATCGTTTTCTTTTAGATAACTCATTTAATTTGACTCAACTGGAGCACATTTCCCCCAGGGCCATGAAGGTGCCACTCCAGATGTGCACATTCATGGCTCTGGAGACAACCACTTGTCCCACCCAGCTCACTGTCTGCTTTAATTACATCTCAGCCAGGAGTAAACTCACAGCGTCCCCGTCTGGAGAGCATCCTGCTCTATTTGCACTCAGTGGCAAAAGGCTCTGCCCAAATTCCCCCTGCTTCTTTCTCTGGACAGCTTTCCAACCTGAGCACTTATCAGTATCCATTCCTCCCCCCTTTTGCAATAGATCTTTCACACCACCCTCAAACTCTTTTCTCCTATTGGCTTATTTTCTCCATTTTTCTACTCATTCTCCTGAAATCCAAAGTCCTTTCCTCTTTACACCCACAGGAGCCCAGAAAAAAAAGGTTAACCAACCCCTCTAAGGAATGACCAAATAGCTTTTCTCTTCCCCCCCCCTTTTTTTTTTTTTACCCATTCCTATATCATGGTCCATGACCCAGTTTATGAATCCCCAAGGGGACAGTAGGAAATGGAACTTGGGCTTCATTGAAGGCCACTAATCCTTTTGCGTCAGTACAGATCAGGAAGAAATGCCTGGATACTGGTCCTCACCTAAAACCCTGTCATTGCAAGCCGTGTTCAGGGGTAATCTGAGGTAGTGAAAGAAAGAGAAAACTATTTCCCATTTCCTGCAAGCCAGAGCATGCAAGGAGGGGTAGGGCAGCAGCTGTACAATGGTTTTCCATGTGAGCAGAATAGTTTGTGCAGCTTGAGTAAAATTAAAAAAAAACAAAAAAAAACACATTTTCCCCTAATTATTGTATGATTTCCATAGGAAGTATTTCTCAGGAATGTGCACAGCTCCACACTGACCCCACATAGGGAGTGTAGGAGCTCACTGGGACCCACCATCGGCCCCAAAGCACGCTCCTGAGGCCAGACACCAGCCTGGGAGAGCTGGCGTTTCCAAAGGCAATCTTCAGCAGGAAAAAAAAAAAAAAACGAGGCACCCGCAGATGGAAAAATGTTGAAACCCAGTTTTTAGAGGCCTAATATTAAGAGATTTCAAGAAAATGACTCTCTGCCTAGTTTTAGCATCAAGTCTCTGCTCATCCCCATGATCAGAGTTTAGAAAAACAAACCAATAAAACCAACTTGCATGCTTTCTTTCCACTGCTCCGTGCTGTGTTCTGACTACTCAAAAACACTGTTCAGCTCCCAGAATTAGGACAGGAGGGGGAAGATGGACTATTTTTGCCAACAACATACCGTGGCTGAGTATGTAGGGTATATAGTATAAGCCTATATAATATAATACCCTGTGGTGTTTATCTTATCAGCAAGACAAGACAAACACTACCACCATTTCACATGCATCACTCCCCAGTCACAGAGAGGTTAAATGACTCATCAAATCCCAGAAGAAGTCATCGACAAACACTGGGAGGGATCCCCAAGCTTCTCTGGTGCCATTTCTTCCTTGATGCACATTGACCCCATGCCCACACTGTGATAACCACGACAAGTTTTGTTGCAGAGTCACCCCTCCTCAGACATCGCATCACACAGGGCCATCAAGGAAAGGAGCATACTCACATCTGCATAAATGTTTGTGCCAAACACCGGTGCCCAGTAGGATGGCTCGTCTTTACAGTGGGCTGGACAATAAATCCTAGAAAACAATTTATTCAGATTTATTCTCCATGTCAAGGCTCAACAGGAAAGCAAGCTGCATTCTTGGGAGATTTCAAGTGCCTGCATCTGGTCTGCAGGTGGCAACAGTGAATCTAATTATTGGCTCCCCTCAGATGACTTTTGGTAGTTGGTATAGAGCTTCAAATCGAGGGCATTAGAGCAGTAAAAGAGGGATTCATCTCCCATGGCATTTTCAAAGTGGAGTTCTTATAGCTCCCAGGCCCTTCCTGACTCATCTGGCCAAAAAACCTCCACTCTCGTTGGCTCTCAGATTGGAGATCTCAGCAGCCCTGCTCCCCTACCACCTCTCCTTCTCCCAAGCAGGGTGAGTTGCAATGGAACACGACTTGCACACACTTACCTTGGGCAATGGGTCGCAGGCTTTTTGAACTGGCACAGCTCAGCTACTGTGGCATAGCAATCCAGTGTCTGTGCTGTGGAAATAAATACAGAGAGATAACATCAATAGGCCAAGTAGCCAAATCAAAATTATGATTCTTTGAAGGAGGGAGATTCACTCAAAAACATACAGAACCTGAGGATGTTTAAAAAGTAGAACTCTACAGTATTTATTTACTCATCATAAGAAATTTTTGTAATTATGATGGGTCACTCTTACTAACCAACTTCATACATAGTTTGTGATTCATTATGCCATTCCTTACACTTATTACATTAGGATTTTTTTTTTTCTCCCCAGTTTTTATACAGTGTTCACACAGTAGACTCAGGCCTTCTTATAAGGAAGGCTTACCTCCTGTCACATTACTATCAGCAGCTCATCACACTGCAGCTGATCCATCACCAGAAAATGCTGTTGGAAATGGCCAGTTATGACCATTCTCTGCACCTTCCTTCCTCTTAGATCCCTACAGAAATTTGTAATATGCAATGGTGGAATTACCCATAAAGGGTGATGGATCAATACCCTTCCGGGGTTTAGTTGTGGTATGGGGCCATTTCACATGATCACTTAAAATGAAAAAGAGAACTGTATGAATGATATCTTCAAGCACCTCATAAAACTCCAGCAACAACAATTTCTTCTCAACTTGACAAACTCTATACTTACTTGCAACTTTGGAAACCATGAATGCGTTGGAAGGTTTATTTTTCCTGCAAAACAAGCGGGGAAAAGTATTAAAGATACACAAAATAAATTTACTCGAATCGCTGTGAATATATACGAGTAACAAAGACAACTGAACATTTGCTTGTATTGAAAGCAAATACAAAAACTTGTTCCCAAAGGTCTTACCTGAAAGATTCCACGCCGTTCCTGGTAGACTTCACAAAGACCTGCGTCCTCCCCTTCCTTGTAATATCAACCAGTCCTCCCTTGTTGTCCAGGATGCCATAGTGAATTGCAGCCCGACATATGCTTGATGACTGAGAAGAGCACAGCAAATAATATATAAAATAAATCTCATTCACAGAGCAGCGCTGACCAACAGCTCTGCAAAGCATGAAGAAACAAAACCACCAAATGCCAAATAACCTGATACAACCCTTTGGAATCTGGTTGTTAGATCTTACTCTCCTGACACAACCTTATTCTTTTCCTATTATTACTATTATTTAAGCTTGGTTGAATGGCAAAATATTTTTAAGTAAAAAAACGTACACTTAGATATAATTTAGAAGAAAAGCAGCACTGGAAATTCACAACCAGTAGGAAATTTTTCCACTTCTCAACAGAACATTCAAACTCAAGATATTTCTGCTGAAACCACTTGCAGGAGGAGGATATCTGCAATCACAGAAGTTGCAGGGCAAAAATATGACATGTAGTCACACACCAGTGGTGAGAATGGGGAAAGCAACCATAAAATGCACAAATAGCCTTTTATATTCAAACTTCCTTTGCTCCAAAAGAAGTTTTGATGGGAAAACAGTACTAGCTCAAGATCCAGCAGATCATCCCAGGATATTTCATTGTTTCAGTGTTTGTAGTGTGAAGTTTCTGTTCAGATTGACCACTCTAAAAAAGAGACCCTTAGAAGAGCTGCCTAGTGATCCCTATCCATCACTTCCCATGGGTTTTATTGTTAAGGGCATTTATGACAGAATCAAGACTGGAATCACTTTGCCTTTCCAGACAGCTTCTTTTTTCATCACTAAGATGAGGAAAATACAGATAGTCTTTATTAACACCCAAATTATAGCACCACAACTGGAGAAAATAGGAAAATCCAAATTACACCAAAATCATTGGCGGTTCCCGTTTCTGTTATTACCACTAGCTTCCCACAGATTACATCTATAAGCTTTTTAAAAGTACTTACACTCTCATAATAAAATGTTCCAAAGATCTTTCCCTTACTGTACAAGCAGCCAGCTGGGCACAGATACCTAGTGAAGATATATATCTTTGAGGGTGGCGAGAAAACAATTCAAGAAAAACAGACTTCGATTCTATTTCATTTAATAGTCATTCCATTCATTTCACGTAACTCTTCCATTTAAAAACAAGATTGCAAAATAACTACTTTTTAGAACAGTTTCTCCACCCTCCTTAAAAAACCCGACCAATATTTAGATTCTGTGGATTTGGTTTTTCTCCAAGTGATAAACTGTCCCGTTCTTTGCAGAAACCTTAACCAGAAGTTCTCGACTGCCTGGGAGGGGACGAGCCATGAATTATTGGTCTGGCTTTGACAGCAGTGGAACGTACAAGAAAGGTTCAGAAGTGACTCTGCCAACATTTATTAAATGATTTTGGACACCTGGAACTGTGGGTCATGATGGCTGCATAAAAAACTGAGTCACTTTGCAGCTAGGTTTGGCTGAGGGCTTTATATTAAAAAAAAAAAAAATAAAGGCTTTTTTCAAAGAGATCTATTTAGTTACAAAAATAAATGTAGTATAGGCTATGTCTTGTTTGCAAGGACCTCAACATTTTTAGCCCATTTTTTCCTGCGCTGCTCCAAGGGGTATCAATAAAACATTACCTGTTGCATGTTGAGCCTCTGCATTTGTCTCTCATCTTGGTCTCACAGGTAATGACTTGTGCTGGGAAAAAAAATAAAAAATAAATTAAAAACAAACAAAGAAACAAACAGAAAACACAGTACAAATTAAAAACAGTATGTTGTAAGAGGAAAGAGACCACCACACCCTGCTTTGGGCACCATGCACCTTTCCAAGAGGTCTTTGGTGCAGTGAGGTTAAATTTCAGTGCAGACCAAGCAGCCTGGAGCTGTTGGTGCCTCTTGATCTATTTACCTAAGACAGGTGTTTTTGGGAGTATTAACAGCAAAGAAACATTTGACAGCCAAAGGCTTTGATTTACAGCTGAATACAGACAGCACTTTTCATTCTTCATTTAATTACAGACCTTGAGATGCTGGTGCGTAAACTTGAAAAGGATGCACTTGCTTGTCTCACCTTGTTTTCAGAATGACTGGTTTGATGAACTGAACATGACTAAGTACTACCAACAGAACATATCACTTCAGAAATCATAGAATGGCTTGGGTTGGAAGGCACCTCAAAGATCATCTGGTTCCAACCCCTGTCACAAAAAGTCTTTACAAGCAAGAAATAGAAAGGAAACCAACTAAAATCCCCAGAAAACTGAATACATAAAATTTTAAATGGGGAATGAAACCAATGCCTCCTAGATCGACTATTGATACGAAGACTTGTGGTTCATCAATACTTTCTTTAGATGCTCCATCCCTGAAGATGTTCAGGGCTGGGTTGGATGGGGCTACGTGCAATCTGAGGTGCAATCCGATTTAGTGGTTGGCAACCCAGCCCACATCAGGGGTTGGAGCTGGATGGCCTTTGAGGTCCCTCCCAACCCAACCATTCTTGTGGTTCTGGGTTCTTTTAAGAAACAGATGAGTATTGCACATTGATGTGCAGGTGGCTTTTCAATGTTTTGCCGCTTACTTCTGAAAGAACAAAAGCAACAGACTGCCTTACTCATGTAGGAGTTGGAGGTGGTTTTCTTGGGCTTGATGGTTTTGCTGGGCTCATTCTCTGGAGGATGGAACCACACAGGCTTGTGCTCTGAGAGCTGTGGGGTCTCCACTTCGTTGGTCTCATCCGTCTCGGTGATGTAGGGGTCTTCATAACGATAATCTTGTTAGAAAGGAGAAATTATTAAAAATAATTGCAGTGTTCACATCAAGTGGGAAATCAGATTTCTCTATCAGAATGGTGCTTCAGCCAGTCCTCCAGTGAAGCACAGCTCCTGCGTGACCCTTGCCAAGTCCCAGTTCAGACATCCACGGTGCCTCCATCCCTCTGAGCCCCCACCCCACTCATAGTGCTCCCATCTTTCACAGCCTCCCACTGCATAACCAACTGCCTGCTGTTGCAGCCCAGCAGAAGGATTTGGGAAATGAAGCCAGAAGATTTCATTCCACTTGGCCATTCCTATTTTCATTCTCATCAGTGAGGAAGGGGATGATGCAAAGAAATGGATGACGAGAGGCTCCCAACACAGCACTGATGTGACCTCTGCAGTTCCCATCTGAATCCCAAGGACTTCCCCCAGCCCCAAGTAGAAAGAGATGAATACAGCAAAATAACCCTCTGCTTTGGGCAAGCCTCCCAAGCAGGGAGCTGCCTGTTTCTAAAATCCCAGCTCTTCATGAAGGAAAACACATGGCAAGGAAAAAAAAAAAAAAAAAGAAAGAAAAAAAGCCCTTGATGCATGACCCCAGAAAATCCCACTTGCTCTGAGAGCAGCACTGCTTCACTGGAGATTTCCCAGCAGCAATAATATTTTTCACTCCGTGTCTATCGACCGCTATTCCAACAGAGCTCCTCCTCTCTTCCCAGAGACACGAATCGCTGTGTTTGATTTGCAGCCGTGAAAACCAAAGTGAGGAAAAAAAAAAAAAGTAGGAAAAAAAAAGAAAAAGAAAAGGGAATCGCTCGTCCCTGGCCAGGATCTGCCCACCCACGTCGCCTCCAGTAAGCGCTGGTGGAACATTCCCTTCCCAAACAAACCCTGTGAGGATGGGAGCGCTTCTGCCCACAGCCTGCCAGCCCCAAGCCCTGCCCCAGCTCCAAGCCAAACCCATGCAGCTCCTCCATCCTGCAATCGCTCACATTTTCACGTTGAATCCGGGCAAATCAGCGCCTTTCAGTTGACGATTTACCATTACACCACAATGCTTAGTTATTGAGGGTGGGTAATTAAAAGCCACGACTGCTCCTAATGAAACGTTTCCAGGTGAAAGCTGGCTGCTGCACAGCACCCTGACCCCCAGCCCCACGTACCTTTGTAGCAAAGGTTGTTCTGGCAGCCACCCCCGTAGCTGGGGGGGCACTCAGAGCAGGGGCGGCCGTTCTTGTATGGAGCTTCTCCAATCCAGTTGCCTCTGCAAGCACAGGAGCAATGCATGCTCATCAGACAGTCCTCCAAGCCCCACATTCTTCAGCCACTGACACTAAGGGTGTGGGGAAAATGGGTATTTCTGTTCTCCATGCATAGGTAAGTGTGAAAAAGACAGCTTGTCCCCTTTTCTATCCAACACTTGCTTTCAGCAATCCTGTCCATCCAAGTTACCAATCTCCCATCAGTATCTGCAGCCCCCGTGCAGCAGCACAGGCCAGGTAGGGGCACAACTCTTGCCATTGAGGAGCTGCTCCATTTTCTATCTGGAGCCATCCCCAAGAGCAAGGTGCAGAAATCCACACCTCCCCCCTGCACAACTGCACAGTCTGAGAAGCAGAGCAGCACTGCACCTTTCCTCTTTGCCCAGCGTGCAAACAATTGTGCCTTTGAGGCTGCAGAAACATCATCCCAGTCTGGAGCAACAGAGCAAAGAGCAACCAAACAGCCCAGCAAAGCCTTGTGAGAAAAACAGTCTTCCTCATTTCACCTTCAAGATGATGATTTTAGGAGTTTCCTCAAATAAATTGTGTGAGCCTTTACATTAAACTCCACTGTGAATACTGTGATTCAGTAAGCAGATGTAGCTCAGCAAATTACTGCATTTTCTCAAGGAAGTACCCAATAACCAAAGCCCTCCTTGGCCCTCTCTGTTGCAAGCATTAGGGGCTGAGAAGGTTAATGGAGCTGGAGCTCAGCCCGTAGCTCTCAACCCTTTGGTTATTGCTCTTTCAGCCGTCTCCACCTATAAGGCTAGATGAGGACAATGCACACAGATGCCAGAGAGAAGAGATTAAGCAAAAACGGCAGAAAGAGAGTATTTTTCCATCCAGCAGGATGGTGTGCAGAGCAGCCCAGCTTGCAATGGGAATTCTGCAGGAGACAGTGGGATTCCATGTATGGAGCAGGTTGTTAAATCCCAAACTGCCCAGCAGCATCGGTAGCCAACGTGGGGAGGGGGTTTCAGCAACACACCCACGGGCATTGCCTGGCTTGTGCTGTGAGCTCTGGCTTTGGCTGCCAGCCCTATCTCACACACCTTTTATCTCAGCATCATTCTGTCCTATGACTTCCAGTGGCTCTGAGCCACACACAGCAATTTCTTTTTTTTTTTTTTTTTTTTTGTAAGTTTTAAACTGTAAGCAACCCTACTGTTCCTTCTGTAGCTGGGGCAAAGAGGCTGCTGCTGGAAGGGCAGGCAACAGCATTAATCAGCCCCATCCCTTCCAGCTGCTGAGCCTCGCCTGGCAGCATGCTCCACTCCAACCTCGCCATCTCCTGCTCTCCTTGCCATGGCAGCAACATCAAAGCTCCAGCCTGGCCCCAGCCCCTCCTTCGCTTTTCCAGGCAATGCTCAGCAGTGTTGAACCAGCTCCGTGCTGCAGTCTAAAGTAAAAATTTAAAGCCACAACCGCCAGTCTAGACTGCCTGAAATCTCTTCCCCAGATCCTGGGCTAGTTAAGTAACCTTCCAGCACAGGGTCTGGGAAAGCAGCAGGGTTCAGCCCATCCGCCTTACTTGGGCGAGTAATTGCAGACCAGGTAGACGGCGTTCTCCCAGATCTCTCCCCAGACATTCATCTGCTTGCAGACGTTCACGGCACAGCCAATCTTGTTTGTTGTGGCCCAGACTATCTGCAAGGACAACGTGCTTATTGAGAACCAGCAAGACACGGGGGCACGTGTTGCAGTGACACAGGATGCAGAGGGGATGCGGAGTATGGATACAAATCCATCTTTTTTACCTGAGTGTAATGCGTGCACATGGGGCCTGTGCATTTATCTGGGCACCACGGGTTGCACTCATGTGGGTACGGATACGAGTAATCCTTGACTTCATCATACCAGGATTGGACATGGAAAGCAGGAGAGCGATACCTGGAGGAGCAAAACACAGGCATGGCTGAGAACACCCACCCCTCAAGTTATCACCAGCCCCTTTGTCATCCAACAGCACTTGTGCACTCCTGGCTTATTGCAAGGCAGCATCTTAGTTTTTAACACAAGCTTTGTGAATTTTACACTACGCTTTCTTAAGGCAAGTTTGTCTCATTGAGAAGGTGTTGCTTAAAAAACTCAGTAACGTGGAAAAAAAAAATATCTAAGTGAAAATGTTGAAGACGATTTCTTCCCCAAAATTCACAGCTCGCTCTGACTTTCTGTATTATTTATAGGTTTGACATGTCCTTCAAACACTGCTGACCTGAAATGTCCTCCTGCCTTTTCCACCTAACTACATAAAACTTCTCGTTTGGCAGAAAGCTGTGTTTTGAAAGCAAACAGAAGTGAAGGTTTGCCAAACAGCTTCACCTGAAAGCCACCATGTACCAACTTCACCACCAGGCCGTTTGCTAAATCTGGATGCCCATTAGCAGTTCCTACTGTAAGACCTTTGACAGGAAGCAAACTTTCCCCCCTCCCATCAAACCAAAGGGTAGTGCAGAGTACTTGGGGCACTGCACGTGCTCCCCACCTTATTGCAGCTATTTCTTTATGCAGCAAACTCCTGCGTGTGCTGCATGTACTCGGTGCAAACTATGCACAATGCTTTGCAATCTGAGGCAGCACTGGTGTTGCTTGTGCTGTTTAGGAGAACGTGAATGGTGTTAAAATTATCTGGAGAAATGCGTTGGCATTTTGTATGCTATGTACATAGTGAGCAAGCAGAGCAATCTGCAAATTCTGTCTCGAAGGAGAAGAGCATTTCAAACACTTTTTATTGCTTTCATCAGCTCACAAGAAGCAGGCAGCCAGCAATACAAATGATATCATTACCAACTGTAGTTTGCTCTTCCAGCCAACTCTTCATTAAAAATCATTCATTAGAAGTGTTTTAAAAACATGAATCTCATGATGTCATTACACGAATACTTTCCGAATTCTATTTTACAAAAGAGGAAATTGAGGCAATCAAGTTAAGGCCCGTTCTTGAAAGTGCTGAGATAAATCTGATTTCTTTTTCCCCCCAGTGATTGCAGTGGGAGCAAGATTGGATCTACCACCATCAATAACCCATAGCCATCTCAAGCATCTGTAGGGCAGCCAAGAACAGCCTGATCTTTTGACTTTGTTTCCAGTGGATTAACCACTCAACTTTCCAATCATTATTTAATTCTCCAATACAAATGAGCCTGATATTTTTTTTATATCAGGCCAATTTCACACCAGCAAATTTCCATTACTTTCAATCAAGTTGTACCCGATTTACAATAGCATAACTTGTTGATCCATTAAAGTTTCCATACACATACAAAATATTTGCTTTACAAAGTAGGCTTATTCTATAAAGACTTAATGACAGGGGCGTAACAATAAGCAAATTTCACCATAGGATGAAGAAGCAAATCCTTTTGTAAGTCTTAACTTCATCTTTCTCAGCCAGATTAAGTCGTCTAGATTCAAAACCTTCCCCAGGACGATGAAAAAAAATAAATGTGCAAAGTTGTTTCAATAAAGACAAATTAAGAGCTGAGCAAATATTTATAGAAAATATGGCATGAGAAAAGTCAAAAGATTTAGATGAGTTCTCAAGCAGCAGCAGTGGCTATTAGCAAGGAGCATCCCAGATCTTACCTGCCCCAGTGAACTGCCAGGTTCTGTCCAATGGACCTGATGAGGGCACTGGGCCCATGGTCCCAGATGCACTGCTGAGCCCAGGCGTGGGCTGATCTTTCCAGCTCATCGTCCCAGGTCTACAGGAAGAAAGGAGGGAAAAGAACAGGTCAGTTCATCCTCTTAAGAGCATTAGATTGAGAGAGTCAACCAGCAGCAACGAGTGGGGAAAGTGAGACTGAAGTACAGCTCATCCCTGGTGCCCAGCCTTGCGATGTCAGCACGTTTCAGTGATGTACTTATACCTAAGAACGTGTTTCTAAAGACAACTGCCTGCCACAGAAGCACAGGGCTCTACAGGGCCTCCTAATTTTCCTCCTCAACGACATGCTCCTTAGGAAGTACTCTGCATAAGTCAACGTAACAAATAGCTCTGGCAAGACCTCAAGAACTCATCTAGACAATCCACCCTAAAATACAGCGAGACATTCTTGGCGCGTGGTTTTCTAACACAGTCAAAAAAATATAGAAATAAATAATCAGACATTCTAGTGTTTTCCTCATGGCACCTATATTTGACATCTGCAAGATTTACAACACAAAGTAAGTGCCTCGGTGTATGATTTTCCATCTGTTGGCCATAACACTGGGACATTTCCTTGCTCTCCCACCCCCTGGGACTCCAACAGTGAATGTGCTCCTGCTCCCCACTACGAACACAGCCCACGCCCCTAAGAAAGGATGAGCACATAACTGCTGTGCCAGTATGGGGCTGAGCCTCTTGCTCCTATCTCCTCCACCCCACATAACTATTGAGCCAACTGATGGACGCAGCCAAACTCAGAGATGGCAAAATCCCAAAACTTCTAAGCCAGGATCACCCTCATTAAAACTGGCCTCAGGTTAGAAGTGACAAATCCCACTGAAGCTCCCACTGAGGAAAAGGCCTCAGACATCACTGAGTATCACCCAGTTACACGCCAAGTGAGAGCTCAGATGCTATCCAACAGCATATATGAAAGCAGTCTCCCTTGGCTTCGCTATCCAGGAGTGCATTTGTTTTAAAGGCCAGACTTGCTGGATCTGGTAGACAATGCTCTGAATTCATTGTGTGATCTCTGACAGCTGCTCTATTTAAATCAGTCCTAGGAGGATAATTCATTGGGTTTAAAATATTATTGCACATTCCTACAAATAAAACCAAAACGAACAGAGACCATTCAGCTCCAGGGCCAGATTACAGCCCCTTCAGATGCTGCAACCAGCTGATCCCTCCCAGTCCTACCTTCTGCGTAAGAAAAGCAACTTGTCATCTCAGCCATATTAAAGGAGCTATCAGAAACCACTTGGAAGGCAGTTAGACTCTCTAACATTTGAAAAATATTGAGTGTTTATACTAAGCAAGCATCGAGCACAGTCTCGGGCAGTTCCAGCTGGGATGGGGAATGATAGAAAATTGTCTCCTGGAGCTCAGTGTGTCTACACCATCTTCAGAAGGTAAAGTTGAGCAAAGCTAACAGCACAGACCTCTGAGAAGAGCTTATCATTAAGCCTCCTCAGCAAATTGAAATCCAGAGCTGCTCCGAGCTCAGCAGCTTGGCTTTGAACTGAGCAGTGGCCAAGCAAATTCTGCAAAACCCCGTGTGGATGCAACTCCGACAGTGGGAATGAAACCATTTTCCATCTCAGCCCTCCAACTCCTTGAAGGTGTATGGGATCCGACCCACCGCATCCACATTTCCAAACCCCTGTTTGGAGCAGACTATTGCAATTGTGCCCAGACACACAGCCTTTTGTGGTCTCCCACTTTGTGCAACAGGCAATGGCCGGCCACAGTCCGCCTTCCCATCCAACACACAAGCCACAGAAACTCTCCCAAGAAGTTACACGCTGCTGGGACTTCAGACTTTCTAGCAGAGCACTATTCTCTGCAGCCTCAAAGGCACAGGCATTCCAAGTCTCCTAATTTAACGCAGAGACTTTATGAGCAATAGGCTATTAAATGGAAATTGATGTGAACATATGTTACATCTTCCTTTGATGCCTATGGATAGAATAAATGAGGTTAGACAAAAGACACTCAACAGGCAATCGGGAGCGAGCCACGTTTCTGCATGGCTTTGCACTTGGTGAGTAGAGAAGCTCATTTCTGCAGGCGTCAGATTACAAAGCCATCCCATTTAAATTAGAGCTGTTATTTGCCTATTTCTTCTCAGACGTGAATGCGGTCAGGAGCCTGGAATCATTTCAGAGCAATAAACATTAAAAAAAAAAATAATAATAATAATTAAAAAAAAGATTTCAGACTTTCCCAGCTACACTTGCAAGAATTCTTTATGCCAAAATTCAAAGCAGTATCTATGAAGAATACCAAAGCCAGAGGAACTGTGTGTTGTACACTCAGTTTCTTATACCTCTTCTGCAACAATCTGGCAAAGCAGCTTCTCACTATTTGGGGAACAAGGTTGCATTCAAATTCTCCCCTTTTCCATTGAGGCTTTCTGCTATCAGACCACTCTGATCACAAGCAGCTCCCTTGTTTTGAGGACACCCACCCAGCCCATTACTGACTTCCCAAGCAGGGGTTTCTAAGAGCCTGTCGGTACACAAGATTCCAAGTGATTTAGTACATGGATTCTCCTTCTTATTCCTGCAGATCTGAAGCTGACTTTCAAAATCTGGAATGCATCATACATGTACAATATATATATTGCATCCGTATCTTACAATGCAATAATCCTATAATGCAATTAAAAGCCTCTACCCTACTGTTAAAAGGAAGAATGAATACCTTATACACAAAGAACTCTTTTTTTTCCAGTCTGAACAATTTTGTTTTAACCATCTGTCTTTGGGCCTCCACAAGAGGAAAGATTTCTGCCTTTCATCACTGCTGAAAGCCATCTGAAAAGGTCAGGGTGTCTTAGGAACTGTTGTGTTCTTTCTACTCCGGGTTCATTAACAAGGAGTTTGCTATGGTCCTGGCTCCTGCTCACCACTCTTGCATACTCCAAAGCCACAATGGAAGTGTTGCTCATAGAGCTGCTGTAGAGTTTGAGCAACTGCACTGGGAAGATAAACACTGCTCACGCCTGGCCCATGACAAAGTCTGTATTTCAGTTTCCACCAACGCTGAATACATGTACTGGCTTTTAATTAATTATACAAAGCCAGCAGCAAAACTGTTTCTTTCTCCACTCCACCTTTATCCTATCTGCATATGCAGTAACTCTTTTGATCCCTGGGTGAGTCATGGGACTTACTGTGCATTGCTTTCTTACTAATTGCCTCCTCTGACTGAAGCTCACATGGTAGTAGATAAATATGCCTTGTTCCTGGTTTATATTAGCTCCCTTTGTCGCTTAAATACATCAGATACAGAACTGGGACATTCACAAAGCAGCGTTTGGAGACTGATGGCCAGGAACACTTTCTACTTCGTTATCCACAAATTAGTGCAGCACGTCGCCTGTGACGCTCCACGCTGGCTCCAAAGGGAAAGAGAAAAGTTTATATACAGTGCTAAAGACAGACCATCCTCTTAAACAAGTCCAAATGAGAAATGTCCTACGCAGAACAAAGGATTAAAGTGAAATTCACATTCAGAATACACGCTGCATTTCCAAGTAACGTTGGGTAAACACGATGACATGAAAGACTGATTATAGCCTTTCCAAGGAGCACCGTCGTATACTCAGCTTCTTTCTTCGCAGCATATAGGGCCCTTTCATTTGCCCTCAATCGGCCATAAAGCCACTAGAAAAGCACACTGAGCAAAGACAAACATAAAAGCGCGACCGCGCTGCAAGCGTAAATAGCAGTCGGCCAGTGTGCAGTCCGCAACTGCAGCCCTCTCAGATCCTCCGAGCCAACCAAAACACACTTGGCTTTCTCATGCCTCGTGTTTACTCTCTGGAAATTAATCAAATCACCTCTTCTCTGGCAGCATCCTTCAGGCTGCCTGCTGGAGGATGGGCGCCTGCTGAGGAGGAGAGGCACAAGGCAGCGGTTCTTAGAAAGACATGTGATTTCTGACATGGGATGGAGCACCAGCGGTGCAACCGCTCAGAAGAAGCCACTGAAGGATGATCATCCTTCCCTACTGCCCTCTGCTCGCTCTTCTCTTTTCCTTTTCCCTACAGTCACTACAGGGAGAATTTTCCATTTGCAGTATTCATTTCAGCGCAGCTGGCAGGAGACTTCACATTACGAGTGCTATTTCTCCTACCCTTTTAAACACACTCTTAACAAATCATTACTCATCCAATCTGTCAGCAGGAGCACATGGCTGAAGTCAGGCTAGCTTCGGTCATAACTATATTTGCACACTGGGAAAAGGTGCACACAAAAAAAAATTATTTGCCTACATCATTTTCTGGGGCCACAGTATTTGGAGGGCTTGTCTAAAATAGCTCAAAGTACAGTCTCTGGCATCAGGTGAGAAAAAACTATTCATCTGAATTGTTGATGGTAAAGGGCATGTTTCATACCAATACTTCTAAGTTCTCCCTCTGAAGTGGGAGAATCCATTGACCAAACTTGTATTTTGGTTTCTTGAGCTACAGAAAGCCAATAGTGCTGACCCATCCACCTCTCAGCTCCCCAGAGCCACGCCAGCAACTTCCAGGGGCTGAGCTCTGCAGATGGAGCCAAACAGGAATCACAAAAACGAATGATGAGAGGGATTGGGTTGGAAGGGACCTCAAAGATCACATCCTTTGAGCGCTGCTGGTCTGAGGGCTGAGCAGATCCCCAGCAGTGTCACGGACATGCCACCCCAGAACACCAGTCACAACGATACGAAAGCTCTAACAGGGAAAACATGGGTTAAATAGTAGGGAAAAATTCATGCTTTTATGACATTAAGGTAATGGAAGAACCTGCTGAGGCAAGCTGTGGAATTGCCATCACTGGAGATGTGTCCAGGGCTGGGCCAGACGTTAGTTTATGAATAATGGAACCAGTCCTGAAAATATGCAGCGGATGGACGAGATGACCCTATTGCTGCCTGTTCCAAGCAAAACAACCCCATGATCTAAAGCATCGCTCACTCTGGAATGAAGCAACTCTGGGAAACCTCTCGAGAAAAGCTAGCTTCAGAGGAAATTCTGCATTATGACAAAAAAAAAAAAAAAAAAGTAGAACTAAAGCTACGCATCAAAAGCTGTACTCACCATGTATTCCATATTGGAGGCTGATGGATACACTTGACCTCTTAATTTATTGTGGAGCATCAATATCTCCTGTCGGTCTGAAAACAAAATGGCTCTCTTGGATCTGGAATGAGCTTCCCCATCCTGGTATTTGCTCAAAATGCTTTCCAGGTGACTCGAGTTGGGCAAGATAAAGCAGTGGGCTGCATTTGCCAGGAGCAGGACACATCCAAGAGGCAGGATCCAAGGCAGGGCAGGATCCATGGCTCCTCTACAGCGGGCAGAATTAGAATGAAGGCAGCAGAAGAGTTTCCTTTCAGGGTCTCCAGTGGCTCAGCACAGATCTGGATGTGGGGGAGAAACAGGCAGTGTGAACAGAAATTCTTGGTATGATCCCCACTGAAGAAGCCACACAACACAGATTTTTGCTTGAAAAAGAGGCATAAAGCGTTATCATTCTCCTCAAGGACCAATGGAACAGAGCACCAACATGGGTGGTGGGAATTCAGTTTATTTCCCCAGTGGTGCTGGATTAGGAGCATTGCTTGGGAAGCACTCAGGCACAGTGCTGGGCGTTCATCCACAAAAGGCACTGGGGTGCACCCAGCAAAGCCCATCTGTGACCCTCTCCAGATGCAAGAAGGAGATGTTTGAAGCTATTTCCCCCGAGAGCAGTTGTTAAAGAGGAGAACAGATCTGAATCAAAGGGAAAGTATAATTCCCAGCGAGGCGGATCGCCGAGGTCAGAGAGCAGCAGGAGCTATTTGGAGGCCCTGCTCTGCCAATAGAGCAGCTGCCAGACCTCGAGCAAGCGGCTGTTTATGTGAAATGTCATCGTAACTCCGAATGCTCACAGTTCCTGCTGGCAAATGACGCACCGGGCTGCTCGCTGACGCTGCCGTGGTGCATTACAGCAGGTGGGAGCAAGGCCAGAGGGTGAATTATGATGTGGAGGAAAGCAGACGGAGCACCCAGCATCTCCCAAGCAGGAGATTAGGCGTTCCTAGGGCTGACCTGCTCGGTTTGATGGCTGTGTTTTATTCCCATCCACTTCTGGATCTGTCAGGCTCCACCTGCCATTTCCCAATAATTCCTCCCTTCCACTCCCTCCCTCCCCACATTCTGTCTAATGTAGCTTGTGCAGTTTGGCTGGCTTTATTCAGATTGCAGGCAATTCAGGGAAGAGAGCATGGGCTGCTGTATGGCTCTGTGGCCTCTTTAGGAGGGGATCTAAGAGCCTCCAGAACAGAGTTAGAATCATGGAATCATTAGTCTGGAAAAGACCTCTAAGATCACGTAGTCCAACCCTAAGCCATCCCCAGCGTGCCCACTAACCATGTCTCTTAGTGCCACATCTCCACACTGAACACCTCCAGGGATGATGGTGCACTAAGTTCCCTGGGCAGTCTGTGCCAATCCTCACTGCTCTGAGAATAAATTTTTCCAAATATCCAAACCTTATTGTCCACAAGAGGCAATAAGTACCCGTGCAGACTGTGTGAGCACAGCGTCCCTCTCCTTCAGGCTAAAGTTTGGAAGAAAGCTTCCCCATCTCTGCCTTTACATCAGGATTTGGTTTTGATAACACCATTACAAAGATGCTGAGAGTGTACCCAGATCATCAGGATCTATCAGAAAAGCTTCAGCCCAGTGCCACGGGGTTGGACACAGTTCCAAATTTCCTCTTCCCCAGAACCAAGAGCATCCACGAAGCAGAGCATCCAACACAAAGGTGCTTTGGTCAGGTGGAAAAACTCTACAGCCATCCAGAAGCCCCGAAAATATGCAGGACGTCTACACAAAAGAGCAGAAGTCCCTGTTCAGGGCTTCTGACTGTAATAAGGCAGAATGAAAACCAGCTGCTGTCAGCCTGCCTGCAGGCAGAGCATTAAGCCCTTGCCGTGGTAGAACAACGTAGGAATATATTTACTAAGTTTAGGTAACAGCTGCTTGCTGTTTCCTGCAGAGCAAGCCCAACACATGCTCCTTGTCCCCAGGCACATCTAAAGGCTGGGACGTTTGGTGGCCTGGGGGCAACCCCAGCTTTAAACTCATTCCTGCCCCAGACTTGAGTGCTGCTTTCCCCCGACTTTCTAACAGCGGGGCAAGCAGAGCCGTCGCTTTGCTAGACTGTCTGACCTAAAATCCCAGCAACAGTTCCTACTTTGAGGCACTTCCCTAAGAGTTTAAAAATAGATGCTCTGCCACCACCGTTTACAATGCAGCCTTTTAGCGCCGGCGATTTTCCCTGCAGCCTGCCCTGTAGGTAAAGCAGGAGGGAACAGACAGCCAACATTATGCTGCTGTTGTATCCCTTCATTTGGCCGGGTGCCCTCAGCTAAACAGGAGCCCGTACCCACCACCCATCTAAGGCAAACACTGAACTTACAGAAAGGGCAGCCTGGAAAGCCAGCTGCTGCTCCATTGCAGAGCTCCAGGACCAAACCAACACGGCTGGGTTTGACCGGAGCTTTGCAACAAATGGTGCATTATTCCTGGTGATGTTCTTCCCTGTATCTAGCTTTGCACCTTCCTAAAAATGGGGCATTTGAGCAATCTTATTCATTTTGGGTGCTCAAGCCAATTCACATGCCTTGGCTGGTGGTGAGGAGCAGGGAAAGTCCAAGGGAAGGGTGAGGTGATGGGAGCAAAGAGAATCACTAAATAATAAAGGTTTGAAAAGACCCCTAAGATCCCCAAGTCCAATCCCAACCCACCCCACCATGCCCACTGGCCACGTCCCTCAGTGCTACATCTCCATGATTCTGAAACACCCCCGAAATTGTGACTCCACCACACCCTGCACAGCCTGTGCCAATGCCCAACCACTCGTTTGGAAAAGAAATTTTTCCTAATATCCAATCTGAAAGAGCCGCCGTGCCAAAGGTTAACTGAAAGCAGCAGAGAGATGCTCACATTTCATTGAGTTCAGACATCCATCTGCTCACACCCCCACTCCCCCTCCCCTCCGACAGCCTCATGCCCAGGTGCAACCAAACACTGGGCCATGTGTCAGAGCTCAGCCAGCCCAGCGCTGGGGCAAAGCCTCCAGTCTTCACTAGGAACTCCTCATTAGATGGAAAGCACATTGCCTTTGGGATGAGATTTGACATTTTTCGGGGAGAATGTTCAGCTGACAGTCAGCTGAGTGAGGCTCTGCTGTTATTTTCAAGGTTTTAGGAGCAGCCGTTATGCAGCTTCCCTTTAACTGCACCAGGCTCCTGATGCTGGTGCCAGGTACACATCTGGGAGTGCTCAGAAATGGGTGAGTCGGCAGAAAGCAGCTCCCAAATACTTTGCAAGGCAAGTCCGAGCTGGGACAGCAGGAGCTTCTGCTGGGCTCCGAGGAAGTGAAAAAGCAGCACTGGACTTTGGAAAAGAATATTTATAGAAAGCTATTTCCCCAGCTCAGAGCTGAAGCTGCATGTCTCAGGGAACAGAGGAGCTGGAGGCTGGCAGGAGTGCTGACTTCTGCCTTTCATTACGTCCTTGCTTCACCCTCACACAGCTATTGATCTTCAGTTGCCTCCTGGGGAGCACACAAGTGGGTTCTGCTCCTCCATATGGGAAACACATGCAGTCAAAGCATCCCGAGAGCTGGGAGCGATGTGCGGGACAGGCCGATGTTGCAGAGAAACACACGTGCTAGCACCAAAAGCAGCAAAGCAGTGGGGGGGTCTGCCTGGGGTCAAACTGATCCCTGTACAAAGAACTCAAGTGAGAAAGCCACAGTGGAATCATAGAATAACCTGGGTTGGAAGGGACCCGTAAGTCCAACTCCCAATGCACTTCATACAGGAACTGAGATGCACACATTTAATGCTTTACAGCTTCAAAAGAAAAGGGGTATGACAAGTTCCTGGGATTCAGCATCCTCAAGGCCACAAGGAAACATCTGGCTCTGCCCCTGCAGTCCACTCCCATGCAGCCCAAGTGGGTGAGATTCTATGCAAAACCACATGAAAAACCCACTAGGAACAGACAGACCATGTGACAACACTGTGAAATTCCTTCTAGATGGGACTTCAGAGCCACACCAACTCCAGCTCCCTGGAGCAGAATGGATGTGCCTGTGGGCAGCCAACTACTGCAGCATCCCTTATGTTGGTCAGTTTCCCCTCCACACGAGCCTTTCCCATTCATAAGAGATAAAAGCACATCAGTCTTTCATCACCCTTTGCAAATCACACAACTTATGGAAAAGTTACTCACACTGTGCCAACTCGACTGCACTGAGACCCTCCTCGCACCCACTCACCCACCTCAAAGCACAATTCAGATGCATGCACTCACCTCACTGAGCACTTCTCGGGAAGCAGCTGCTCCTCCAAGCTTGCTGGTGGGAAATAAATTATATAGCTGCAATCGTTCAGCAAGGAGGAGGAAAGGATGCAGGGAGCCCGGGGAGGTGCAGGGACGCGAGGTCTCGGCTCAGCAGCGAGCACCAACTGCGGTCTCGCAGAGCTCCCCAGTGGTATTTATGCTCTCCAGGCAAAGAGGACACAACTCCGGATCATCCTGTTTGGCAATCAGCCTGTAAAACAGAAGGGAAAAAAAAAAAAAAAAATTGGAGGAGGAAAAAAAAATGAAAAAAAAAAAAAGGAGGCAGGAGCAAGGAGTAGAGGAGTGACGCTTCGCATCGCACCGCTGTTGGAAGACACTCATTGGGGCGAGGAAAATTAGGACCGTCCTCCCAAAGGCTGTAACACAACACCCGGCAAGAAGAGGAGGAGGAGGAGGAGGAGGAGGAGGCAGCAGCAGCCCCATATAAGCGGGGTTACCCTCATTCTCCCTTCAAGCAGCTTGCAGACAACAGAGCTGCTGCCCAGCCTTGCTCTCTGCCACGGGTGTTCAGTGGTGATGAGTTTGGAAAAAAATAAAATAAAAAAAAATCACCCAAATTATTATTATTATTATTTTTGCATGGGACAGAAGCCAGCTTCGTCCTCCCGGCTGCTGGCTCAGCAATTCCCAGCTCTCCATGAGGAAAGCCCAGCGATGCCCCAGCCAGGCAGCATCACTTCTTTTCTTCCCCAATTGGGCATCCGCTGAGCAAAGGCAGATTTATGTCCCTCTGAGGTCTGTTTCCAGAGCTCACCCAGCACTGATGTTCCCTGCACACAAACGCAGCTGTCAGCAGGAACAGCAGGAGCAAGCAAAGCATCGTGCAAGCTCACCTCTGCTGCAGGACACCCCAAGAGCCCAGCGCAGCCTCTCAGCACGATCCTTCCCTGCGGTGTCAGCCCCACATGCACTGTTGAAACGTGGTTTTATAGCCTGTGAAAGGAAATGACTGAGCAAAAGATCTTATTTTTTTTCTTCTTCTTTTTTTTTTTTTTTCTTTTGATCAGACAAACAGGAAAAACAAAGTGGTACCGTGAGTAATTACATGAGTGCATCACAGCACTCCGTGCAGCAGCTGCTGCTGCTCCATGGTGGGATGCTACCATGACAGCATCCTGCACGGTTCTTGGGGGTAGAGTCCTTCCATTCTTCTAAACAACAAATTATTTCTTTATGCAAAACAGCAGCCAATTTGATGTACAGTTTGTGGGCTTCCAAGATTCTGCCACTGAGCACAATTGTTTGTCAAAGCTGCTCATTATCACGTGAGCAAAGCAGAACTCCCCCGAAATGATGCCCCTGGAGCCACGTCCATGACACCTCTGTTGATTTAATCTCATGCACCACTGTCCCAAGAACTTGTGCAGAAGCAGCAGATTCTCATCGCTTGGGGATCTTCAGCACTGGGTTGTGGCTTTTAACCCACAGTGCAGTTGGGTCATAGAATCACTGATGGAAAGGATTGCTGAGATCACCAATCGCCCCCCATTGTGCCCACTCACCATGTCAGTACCATATCACTCACACCTGTCCCAGTGTCCCCACTCAGTACAACACCAGATCCCTGCTGCTTGCTCTCCCAAATGTATTTACTGAGAGTATTTCAGCACAAATTATGAACCGACAGCACGTGCTCCATCATTCCCACAGCTGATTCGGTGCCATTTTGGCAGCTCGCTCCTGTAAGGTTGAGAGATGCTGTCCCATCCGTGGGCCATTCTAAAGACAAAATAGAGCTTTGCTTTGACATCTCTGCATCCTCCTGGTGCTCTTTTGCTGCTCCAGCAGTGCTGACTCACGGCCTCTGGAGGTACATCTCACCGTGCTTGCCAGAAAGTTGAGTTGCTCATTTAACCTCTCACGTAACAGCACACAAATTATTTCCAGCTCTCTCAGGAATGCGGTTTTTTGTCATCTCCACAAATGTTCCTATTGGAAATTATTCATACAATCATGAAGGTTGAAAAAGATCTCTGCTATCACCAAGTCCAAGCCCAACACACCCCACCATGCCCACATCCCTGAGTGCCACATCCCCACCTCCATGGACAGTGACACCATCACTCCCTGAGATGCTTCTGCATCACTGCTCTTCCAGGGTAAGAAATCGTTCCTAATATCCAACACAAACCTCTCCCAACCCAAACTGAGGCCTTGACAGTTCTCACCCATCCTATGTCAGTTCTCCATCAGCCCTGCCGCCATGCAAATATTTGGTGTTTTGGGTATTTTCTACCATACACCCATGCAGTCTCCCCATGCCCAGCAGCATTCAGGGATGAGCACAGCTCTAAACGAGGCTTTCATTTGTCCCATTTTGTTACAAGTCAGCACTTTCAGGTCCTACATTCAACCAAAGCCAAAACAATCAGAAGATACCTTTAATCTCTCAGCGTTATTATGGCCTTGATTATAACTTCTCGGTTTCATGTGTGGTAAAAGCCACATAAAGCAGGCTGTATATAAGTATATATTAGGAGAAGATGCTTTTAATGTAATATCCAGTGAATAGGGAGAAACACAGATTTCACTATTCGCCCCTAATTGAACACGCAGACAGCATGTCTTGGTTTTCAACCTAAATTCCCCATTATTTCTTATTCCAATATGAGCTCAGCAATACCAGGACTGCAGCAAAGTGAAGAACGGGGAATGGACCCAAAACCATGGTACTGACCTGCAATGTCTGGCTCCAGCACTGAGGGGTGCAGTGAGATAACACAGCTGGAGCAAAGCAGTGATAAGAGAAAGCATCTCGAGACTTGAATCTTCAAATCCTGTGCTACACAGCCAATGGTCAAATAAAAACGTCAGTCAGCAAGACGAAGAAATGAGCAGAAAAGCCACAGAAATGTCAGGAAGTTGATTGTTGAATGTGGGGGGGCAGCTTTCTTTCCCTCTTTTCCCCCCTTTTCTCTCCTTTTCCCTCTTCCCCTCTCATTTTCTTTCCTATACTTTCCATTTTTTTTTTGTCCTTTTCTCTCCTTTTTTTTTTTTTCCTTTCCCCCCTCCACTTTTCTTCCTTTTCTTTCTTATTTATCCCCTTTATCCCACTCTTTTTATTTCCATTTTTCCTCTTGTTTCTCCTTTCAAAAGGAAGCAACCAGTAAAGTTCTTCAGCCCAAACCAGCTCAAAAGCATAAACCAAACTCTCACCTTCAGAGATCCTACCCCAGAATAGGAGAATTGCAACCACAACCACCAAGCCCACTCTATGCATTTGCTAAAGCTCTCCCCGTATCCCTGGGGCCATAAAAGCCAAGGATTGTAACACAGGAACACCAGAACACCCTGAGAACACTCACAGTGTGCCATAGGAGCTATGTCAGATGCACGGAGTCATCCACACATGGAACCCATCTGAGTGTGCCACCACTGCCCTCTGCAGTGGTCTGCATACATGTACACATGGGAGAGCCCTATTGGAAGGGATCTGCTTGGCAATAAGTGAAAAAGAAACACGATTTCTTTAATTATTAAAAGCTACAATCTCTTAGGTAACTGAAAAATGAAAGGCACAACTTCTCCTACCCCCAAAGAGCTCCAGGTATTGGAAGCCTTTCTCCCCCAGCCCATCAAACCATTCCTGATTCGTGCTCCGAGATTTTTCTAACAGCATCTCAGCCCATGAGATTTTCATTTTGGGGGAGTTTGGGGTGGTTTTCCTTCTTTTACATAACTGCAGACACAGCAAATAATTAGAGGGCTGCAAAGGTTGGAAGGATTTAATAAGGAAAAGAAACTGTGGTGCTGTGTGTCCATCAGACTTGCCCCATGGCTCGTACTGCTTTTTCCCCTTTTGAGCAATACGCTGCAGAAAGACAGATTTTAGCAATAAGTACATTCGTAATATCCTTACCAAAAATCACAGAAATGAATACCATCTGAGCAACCTCCACTCCTTACCAAGGATTTCAATGCTTGCCTTTTCACTTGGCCATTACTCATTCATAATTAACAACACCTGCAACCTGCCTGTAACAACCAAATGCACAAAGAGCAAACTGCAGGGTTTTTTTTGGTTTTTTTTTCAGCATTCTCTATTCCTTCAATATTTTCCAATTCCATTTAATATTTAACACCTAAGGGGAGCTCCAGTTCCTTTATATTGTCTCCAAACTTAGACATCAGGCCTATGTGGGTCTTTTCTGAACAGAAAAGCTTTAGTGTATTCGACCCACAAGCTCAAAGTTTTGGCTGACACTGGTCAAAACCACCCTGTGTTGCAAGGACCCACTACCAACTAGCAATCACCTGCCCCTTCTGCTGGAACATACGGATGTGTGAAATCCTCATTTTTCATGGTGCCATGGCACTGCAAGATGAATAGTTGCACAAAGCTGCTGCTGTTGTGTCTCTGAAGCAGTTGCTGCAATGGTAAGAGGTGCACAACAAGTCTACGTTACCAGAAATGCCCATTTCACAACCTGCTGGAGATGCAAGTGAACGCCAGATAAATGTCCTCCATCTTCTAGCAGCACAAAAATAGGAGTTCTGCAGAACAAATGAGCAGCACAGTCATTCCTACAAGAGAACAGCATAGGAAAGCCCTGTACATGTCAGCTGGGCTTGCCCTGCCCCAGCAGCTCATTGGTTCCTGCTGCAGGAGCTATGCATGCACCAGCACAGCCTTGCATGGTAAATGCACCCAGGACTCACCATCACTTTACTCTTTTTCAGGAAGCAGCCATGAATAAGCTTCCTGTCTTTTGTAAGGTGACTAATTCTTGCTTTGTTTGGGCAGAAAACACAAGAGGGAAGCCCATGTCAACAGACAAGTGTTGCAACCTAAGACACTGACAGAGCTGCTTCCTTTCTCTTGAAAAACCTAACATCACTTTACATGGAAACATTAAGGCTGGCATCCTGTCAGGCCTTCCTGTAGGACATGGGGAGGATTCACTCCCCACAGGCTGCAGCCTCTCCTCCGTGGTTTCGTCTCAATGCCAAATGGAAACACTCCTGAAGTTCCAAGGAGCTGTTGTTAAAAGACAAAAAGCATCTGCACTTCATTTGAGCAACAGCACCTGCACCCTGTAAAAAGAGCCACAAGGCAATATTTAGGAGTTCAAGGCTAGAATTTACACCAAAGGAAAAACAAAACCCACACCAACACACACCTTAAACCAACTTTGTGACTTTTATTGATGGGCGACAACTTTATACTTCTAGATATCACTAAACTGTGTACAATTAGGAACTCAACATTATAGGAGAGCAGACAGCAAAATTAAACAAAGCAGACTTAAAGAAATATCAATCTTAATTATTTTGCCCATTTTTTTTTTCTTAAATTTCATGTACACAGAAGCATAAATGCAGTTTGAAATTTCATAATAGCAATAAAGTTACAATCACCCATCTATATAGACTAACATCTTAACTCCAAATATTTGATCTGCAATGTGTACTTAAGCAGTTTCTCATCACACAATTATTAAAATGTGTCTTCCTATTAGGAACCAGCAACTCTGCATTTTGTACGTTTGTCCATTTTTGAAGCACACAGGACCATCTCCATCTCATACACATTGGCTCATCTTTTACCACTTATCAAAAACTATTGGGGGAGCAGAGAGCGCTTTTGTATTTTTTATTTTTATTTTTTTTATTTTTTATTTTTTTTATTTTAATTAAGTAAAGATAAAACATTTTCACAGAAATCTACAAGTTCTGTTGCTGGTGCACTGTTTTCTTCTACTACGCAATTAGAAAGTGGGAATCAAATGCAAATCCCCTGTTTATTATCTTAGGATTCAGCATTAATTCAGATTTTTTTTTTTATTTTTATTTTTTTTTAATTTTTAAATTTTTTTTATTTTTGTGATTCACGAGACTCGAGTCTTTCAACCCAGTGACTCCATTCTGCAAAGTCAAAGTCAACACAAACTATGTTGTGCACAAACCCACGGTAGTTTCCTTTTTCACTCTATCCCATAGTTGCAAGGGAAAAGAAAAAAAAAAAAAAAGAAAAAAAAGAGATTCACTCAAAAGAGCATTTACAGGAGAAGGAAAAAAAGTTAGTGATAGTTGGCGTTCTACAAAGCAGGTATCTTGCACACACAGCATAGAGGGAGAAGTTTCACAGCAGGTCAACTCGGCGGTAGTACAGGAGGTAGGCTGTGCGTTCTGCAGACGGCTTCACCACCTGGTACTGATTGATCACCTTCACTGCCTGGTCATCGATGCGTAACCAGCCGTTGAGCCCGATTTGGAAGACGTCCGTAGTGTAATGGCCACCAGTTGCGCTGTTTCCGTGATGATAAACAACTGTGAAAAGAGAAATTTGGGATGCGCGTGTACGTGAAATGGTTTTGTCTGAGACAGGGGAGGTTTAGGTTGGATATTAGGGGGAAGTTTTTCACCCAGAGGCATTGGAACAGGTTGCCCAAGGAGGTTGTGGATGCCCCATCCCTGCAGGCATTCAAGGCCAGGCTGGATGTGGCTCTGGGCAGCCTGGTCTGCTGGTTGGTGACCCTGCACACAGCAGGGGGTTGGAACTGGATGAGCACTGTGCTCCTTTGCAACCCAGGCCATTCCGTGATTCTATGAATACCCATTGCCACATAAAAGAATGGAATTAAAGTCACTTTCTGCTTTCTTCATAATATACTCATGATTCAACCAGGCAGTATACGTAATGCCTCTCCACCATACCAAATCTAATGATTCTAAAGTAAATTAAGAATGAAAAGCACCACAATGCATTAAGCAACTTATTAATAAAAAATCTGAACAATCTACAGAGTAGTCCACAGAGAAAATTAGAAAGTCTATAGACTGTAGCCTAAAAAAGCCTATAAACAAAGACTAAAGCGCAGTCCATAAGGCAAACAATTGTAGAGCATTTTTATATGCCAACAAAATACTTGAAAATAAAAACCAGAGGGCATTAAGCTACACAGCAGAACAGGGCACTGTTCAAATCATGCCGATTATAAAGCCAATTATTCCACTCGTGATCATTCTTTCATTCTGTCTTAACTAAAATTCTTTTCTGAAAACAGGTGCTGTTGAAGTACCAATCTGTACATTTCCCATTTATTAGTTCTCAGTAATCTGCTCCAAATTTTGAATGGAACACATCTAACTGCTGCTGCTCCCAAAAGAGCATCAAACTGTCTTCTCTCCTCGATTATCTCCACATCCAAAATGTTTTCAGAACAGAGGGCTCAGCAGTCCTTACAAAAACCAAACCCAAATTTCAACACTGAGCTCTCAGCATTATGCATGGACAGTGCCTCCAAATGGAAGAGGTCTTCTACATACGTAAACCTAAGGATGCATGGAAGAAAATGCATTTAACTCTTTCTCAGAGCACGTGCCCATACCACACACTTAACAAGCCCACACAGAAAGCACTGCCATACTCTAAACAGCAAAAGTAATGATAAATATTTATAAAACAATATTCAAACTTCAATAGACCCAGTGTTCCTGTCCTAAAAGATACTTCAAACTTACCCCAAAGTTTTCCTCACTTGTACAAAACCAAACATTTTACAGTAATATCAAAGAGACAAAGTTTTTAGAAATTTACAAAATAAATCTGGAATTATTCATGTTCTGAAATTTATTTTAATTACTGGATAGTTTGCAATACCTGAAACTTATTTGTTCAGATCATCTAAGCTCAGTGTCTGTGGATGAGAACTCCTCGGTTGCCAGAAAACTCTATTGTACTTTTCCATAGGGGGAGTTAGAAATAATTAGAGTGCAAACACATTTCTTGAAGTCATTTTAAACACGGTCTCCAGATCTGCCCCATGAAAATAACTTCCAATAAAATAAAATAAAACTGCCAGAAACAGTTCTGAGAGCCAGGTACGTTTTTTTTTCCTTCTGTAAACTCAGCGGTCACAAAAGTGGATCCAAATCACCAAGTCACATAAGGCCACCACTACTGGCACAGATTTGGTGACACAGAAGTTAAAATCTCTGGATTCTCCTGTTTATTATGTTCTCCTACGTCAACAAAAAGCAGGTGCAAATCGTAAACTGTGGAGGAGTGTTAAACCTCAGGAAATTCATTACTGCCAGAGACTGTTTTGTTCAGTATGAAAATCCTGCTCCTGCATACTTACGTGAGCTTCCAACCTTAACTACCAATTTAAGGTATTTCACATACATTGCAGACTTAAAAACATCATTTCCTTACACAAATATCATCATCTCCTCCAAGCTAAACTTCTCCACCCACAGCATGCTACTCACAGACTGCCAGCAACTCATCCTGAGGGTTCAATGGGACATGCCAGCATTCAAACAGCAATTACAATACACAGATGAAACATTATTCTGAAAACTTGGGCTATGTTTTAGGCATAGTTATAATGCAGCTATATTTCAGCTGCTGCTATTTTTCAGGGTGGATCTGCTACAGAACTTTTGTTTGAGCTTCAAGCTGGAATAGTTAGCATATAAATACAACATTACAGGGGTATATGTGCATACACAAAAAAATCATTGAATAAGAGAATCTGACACCCATAAATTATTTCAGTTTAAAAATAATTTTGTAATTTATAAGAAATTATCATCCAGGTTTCTAGAACTCTACATGCACAATTTGTATTTGCAATACAGGGACAAGAGCACATAGATAAAATACCTGCAAAGAGCCGGTAGGTTCTTTGGCCTTTAAAAATTTTACTTTTCACACCAGGAGATAGTAGCTCTGGAGGAAGAAAAAGAGTCATAAAGTTAGCAAATTCAGTTTCAGCACAGATCAGTTATTTCTAATAGAAATCAACATTAGTATAAACAGAGAAAGCTCATCTAAAATGTATGTAACAATCAATTTCAGGTCCTAAGTTATGCTGCAACTGTTGTTGTCAGTGATGGCAGAATAAATAAGTTCTACAAATATTCATTCTTTAAGACATTTTAATATTAAATAATAATGACAAAGTATATATCTCGCTTGATATATAAGTAATCATTAATTTTCTTTTTTCTGAGCTGGTCAGCTAACAGTCAACTTGCCATATGAAAAGAAAATGAATTTAACACTGCAAACTTGAGGTGATGGATAAACACAAGTTCTCACCCTTCATACAACCAACAGCTCTTAAGATATCAAGACAGACCTTTATCCATCACTAGTCTGCTTTCAGCTGTATCTTCCATAAAATGTCTACCTCCTTTCATCAGGCACTGTTTGTAACAATAATTTGCCACTTTCAAGTGAAACCTGACATAAAAATACAAAGAGTTGTTTGGCAAGAGCCCTAAGAATTGGCATGTTCTTCATTCAGGGGTCATTCCCAGTATTTGTTCTCATCAGCCTACAACCTTACTCCTTAGGTCTGCAGGAAGCTCTCATGTGGCCAACTCAATGTCTAGGATGTGACAAAGGTTGTAAGATCTTTCACCATAATGTTCTTTGCACAGCAGTGGCCCAAACCAATATACAGGCAACGTGAGATTCGTCAAGACTGAATCTCAGATAGCTAAATATATTCTTTTTATGGAGGGAAAAAAAAGCACAGAAGATATTCAGCAAAATTATTACGTTTCTAGGTGGCAATACCCTCCATGGAGAAGAAATCTTGTGTACAAAGCTGGAAACGAAGAAGAAAACTGAAAGACACTAAGGAGTTAACATTATCCTTTCCCAAAATGGGGGAAACTTCTGTTAAAGAAGACATCTTTACCTTTACTAATTTCCAGATCAACAGGATACTCAATATTCTTGATAAGCTTCTGACATCCGCCAGTCTTCTCATACACAAACCTCTTGAGGTGTAAAACAAGGACAGGGGGGAGTTCTTCTAGTGTCACTCTTCGACTGATCTCCACCTAAAAATACAGAACAAAGATGAACTAAATATGATTTCTGTTGACTGTTTAGAAATACCATTTTAAAAGAGGAATAAGTATTTGACTTTAAATCCACTCCCACAAAGAAGAACGTTTGCACAGCATAAGATAGTTTATAAGACAGTTTATGACACATGACAGTAAGAGACCAGTGATGTAAATTATTTAAGATCAATGAGATATCTGATATTCAAGAATTCCCTTGAAAATCAAAGTGAGCTGTTAAATAAGCTGTTTAAAACAAGCACCACCATGGTCAGGAGTTACGGAAGGTTTCAGTAATGAATGATATTTCTTTTTTTAAAAGGTATCCCAGGTTCTGTAAAGATCCTGAAGAAAAATACAGAGAGAAAACTATGAGTTACAGCCACATTTATTTATTTATTTACTAAATATTGACTTTTTTTTTTTATAGTTACAACCAAGTAACCCAAAAAGTTACTGTCTGGAAATGTAAAACTGGGCTCAGACTGCAGAACAAAAATGCTTCCCCTTCCTAGAAATCCTGAAGTAAAAAAAAAAAAAATTCTCCAAGTAACTGCTTTAGGTTTCTCTAAGTTTCCAGATTCAGAAAAAAGCACCTGTATCCTCTTTATGGTAAATCATCAGCATACTGTACTCCAACAGAGGACCCAATTCTACTACCGAGCGTGGAATAGGAAATCATTAGGAAAAACTATCACTCTTCTGAGCTTGAATACTAAAACTTATGGCTTTCATGATACTGAAGCAAGCAGGTTTTGTAGGGTGCACGATTTCCTCAAGGATTTGAGCTGATACTTTTTACAAGAAATAATTTAACATTTCAAACAGAAATAGTCTCTACAAACTGTAAAATTTCACCTACATCTTAAGGGTTCAAAATATGCCTTTCTGCATCCAAAAAACATCTAACCACTGGCAACAGTGGCAGCTTCTCTGAGTCTTAAGAGAGGGGTTTTTTTGTGCTTTTTGTTATTTTTTTAAACCAGCAGGCCAAACAGGGCCCTGTTCTTTTCCACTCAATAAGTGCCTGCTGGCGCCCACCCATCCATCTTCCAGGAATAACACGCAGAAAAAGAAGCTCTAAGGCAGACTCTGAAAGAGAAGATGTGACAAGAGGTGCACACAGTTCTCCTATGAACTTAGGAGAGTTTGCATATTCCATGCATTCTAGTATGGAACAGCTGCTGTTTTTATGGAGCAAATCTGGAGAGGCTTTATATAGAGAGAAAACATTCTTGATTCAGAAAGTTATCACCATTTGAAGATCTTCCTGGAATTGAGTCTTCTCAATCTAAAATTTGAGTTCAACTTTGTGCAGAACAAACCAACCAACCCCAAATACTTCACAGGTCCAAGCCCAGACCAAGACAGGAAGACACAGAAGAATACCAACACAGTTGTTTAAGCAGCTGCTGTTCTCCTCTCTCAGTCACTGAGCTGGTGTTTGAGAACACATGCCTGCACTTCAGCTGTGCCTCACCTAGAATCTCAGCTGAGATTGCAGATCACAGCAGCATTGTGCTCTGGTGCCAGGCTGAGGAGCAGCAGCTGGGGACCCAATGCATGTCCTGCTACCTTGACCACCAGGAGACCTGATTTCTGGTAGCAACATCACCAGCAAAAAGTGCTCCAAACATTTGTTTAGTGAACACTGAGTCATTCCTGAGAAAATATTTGTGTAAGCCTCAAGAAGCAGTCTGAGAACTCCAGAGAATGTGAAGACTCCTTCTAAGGAGTTTGTGAAAGGTAAGCAGGAAAAGTAAACGAGAAAAGGCTAGCTTCTTACTCAAGTCTTCACTTCTGTTACAAAATGTGAACAGGTCTGCAAATAAGAAAAAAGTCACTTCAAGTTAAAAATTAAGCTTTTATATATATTTGCTGTTGAAACGTTCAAGACTTAAACTGATCTACAAGACCAGAATCAGAATGGCATACAGAGCAAGAGAATGTAATTCCTTTTTAAACACCTAAGGAAACACCTCTATAAAACACCTATTTATTTTCAAATACTGCAGGAGAGACTCATGATTTCCTCCTTATATTAACACAAAATTCTTACGATTAAAAAAATAAACTAAAGTCATTCACACATTTGGAAGATTATTCTTGCTGAAACTATGGCTTATGCCCACAGCTTGACATGAATACAATTCAGATTTTAAAAAATCAATTAAAAAAATAAAGAGTAATAAAATAATAGATTATTTTTTTTTTTAAGCTTTGTCAATGGTTTCTGAGTTCCCCATATAGGAAATGGAGATGAAATGCTTCTTCACAACATATTTTGCCTTTCAGGACTTTGCAGATAGTAATTTTCAATGCGTTCACTGTTTTCACTACAATTTGTAACGTAAGAACAGCTCTTTTGACTTCTTTTGAAAAAGAGTCTAAAAGGAATAGTGAATGCTTGCATTTCTATGCAGCCTCTAAAATCCATGCATGCCAGAGATGACGTTTTTTACTACCATATGCTCTAAGCAGCAAGACAATAGCTCACATGGGAGATAAGTTTAATTTATTAACCTGCATCACAAGTTCTCAAGGTATATGCCAGAAGTATGTTTTTCTTCCCATGTAGTATTTCTCTTTTGCAATTGTTACTTTTCTATACAATATTGTTTGCAAAATATAAGAAGCCATCAGCAGAGATGCATGAAGTTGCAGAACTGCTGAAAGATTTTTCTTTCAAAGCTACAACGTGATTTCAAGCAATGCTCTGAAGAGCTGCTCCTTTTAGTAAGATTCCTGGCAATTCCCAGGAATCAGTATGTTAAGACTAGCTAAAGGCATTTTACTTATAATAGTACATATTATTATCACAGTTTACCCTGTTAATTTAATAATATACTCAAGTAAAATCTTCAGAAAACATAATTCACAGGCAGAGTTTTGTTTATAGTTGGTTCTCTTCCTTGAATGCCTTTCACTGTGTGTATTCAAATGTATTATGTTTTACAGCTGCAAGACACCAAAAAGGTTAGCACCTTTTTTATTAACACGAGGAGCAAGAGTTCAAGAAACTATTTGTAAACCGAGAGCTGAGTAAAAACCCTTGAAAGAAGTTTTAATATTTGACTGTAAAAAGGGGTCAACAGAACACACCTCTTGCTTGGTTTTTGTGGTATAACCCTGGACAGACTCTCTTGCTACCAAACTTTCCAATGCATCCTGGACGGTGCGTATCTTGTCAGACTGGATATCCAGTTGCAGGGTGAAGAAAGGTTGCAGCGTAGCAGACTCTTTAGAACTCTGCTGGTAAACAACAGATCTATGGAGAGAGAAAAAACTGAATGTAAAAAAAGAGTATTTTTCAACAGTACAGAATCTTCAAGTAAGAACAAATTAGTGTCTACCTTGCTAACTCAGTTGACAGTTAAACCTGAACAAAACATACAAATACTAGCTTCAATAACTAGTACCCACTTGATTCAGCAGCTTGAATCTGCTTTAATACAAGTAAAAAATTCAGTGTGCTCTACTTCTTAGAGCACATTGAATGAAATTATTTTATTTATGCAAGGATTTAAACAATTCTGGATAAGCATCAGTCACTTAAAACTTCAAGCAAAGAAGTGCTTGGCCATGCCTTTAAAAGTCTTCAATTTGGGACACATAAAAACATATTATGATCAACTTTACTGAATTCCACCTGAGCTTTCAGATGGTTCAAACTTTATTCCGAACTGAAAAAAAAACAGTTATGTATTTCATGGCACAGTTAAAGTTGATTTATTTTAAAAAGTCTCAAAAATTGGGAACAGTTTACACATATACATTGTATAAAAACTGTAAAAACAAAGCTTTAAAATCAAGTTGAAGCTATACCTAACTGCATTCCTACCCAGGCCTCTATCTTTTGTTTCACTACTGCTAACCACAGAAATACCTCTGCTCTATGAAACACAGATACTTCTGGCAAGTATGTTAAGGAAGCCAGCTCTTATTGCAGGGAGACTTTAAAATCATCTCAGCTCACATCAAGTTTCTGAAATCATGCTTTATAAACACATGATCAGAAATGCAAAGTACTGATCCATCTCCAATTTATGTTTTGCCGTAAAAAATTACAACCAAGTCCAGATTGTGCAATTAAAACACACGATTGTTTCAGTCACTTCACTGTGTCCAGTTTTATAGCCACTTTAAATTGTTTGGTTAGATCCTGCCATATGAAATACAAACTATCCTCTGTTGAGGATTAATATTTCCTTCTCCTTCCAACATTTTCCAGACTTTGTCCACGCACTCCTCTGTACAGAAATGGGAGACTTTTGGAAAAACCGTAACATTAACAACATAGGGCATGAGATAATTTTTTGTAGGGCATTCAGCTGCAGCCTTTCACAGCAGTGTGGCTTGGTGAAGATTGTTCTGTGCACTGAGATAGCTCACTCTTCAACCACATCACTGCACTAAGTGCACTTTTCCTGTTTTCCCTGAAAACTATCAAACATGACTCAAGAATTTATTTTCTTTTGAAAGCAGTACTTCCCTTAAAAAGTCCCAGCTGTTAAAAAATGTGATTTTACACAGCTGAAGAAATAAATTGCTTATTATATTCTTAAGCTTATTCTTAATTATAGTGCCCCACAAAGCTTGAAAGCAATAAGATAATTAACACAGCTGTAACTCCTGTAGGCATGCTGAGATTTCTCTCAACCATGTATAAAATGTTAACATACAGGTGTGATTACTGCCAACTCCTACCAAAAGAGCCCCTGCAATTCAGGCAAAACCCCAAAGCAGCAACACACAGTCGATGCATCTTTAGACTGGCAAATACATCTCCTTCAGAGGAAAGACAGCATATGAAAGCAGTACTATGTTTATTTCACTTAACGCTTCCTCCTTGGCTATATTTAAGGACAAAACCTTCAACACATGGCAAGAGCAGTGTTTCAGTAAACAAACCCAGCACTGTGTAAGTCTTGCTGCTTTTGGATACATTCCCCAGCCCCTTTTTAAGCTAACCATTATTTAGTGCAATGATCACTAGAAAACTGCTACCAAGTCCATGTATTAAAGATTAAATTACTAATATGGATGATATTCTGAGAAGATAATACTAATGAAAAGCTCTTTTTTCTTTTAGTTACTAGGACTGAAATGGCAAAGTTTCTTCAAAAAGTTGTACAGAAATGGATTTGACAGCAAAACCTTTATTGCACTTTGGTTTTCCATAGCTTAATTGTGGATGCCCCATCCCTGGAGGCATTCAAGGCCAGGCTGGATGTGGCTCTGGGCAGCCTGGTCTGCTGGTTGGCGACCCTGCACATAGCAGGGGGATTGAAACTGGATGAGCATTGTGGGCCTTTTCAACCCAGGCCATTCTCTGATTAATTACTTAGTAGAATAATTAGAAATGTCTATTGGTCGCAGCAAAATGCATTGTCAATCTCACATACTGCAAGAGCTCTACAGTCAGCAGTATTGTTTCAGAATGATTATTATTTTTTTTTACATGAAAACAGGTACTGTTCTATTATATGTTATATGTTTTTTTCTTTTAGAAGTGCTATTTATGGAAGTATTTAGCAGGCCTAGAACTGGTTTGTGGACTAGCTTGTGTAACATACTTCAAATTCACACAAGCTGAAAAAGCAAAAAGGACTCTGCATACTAACAAACCAGATCCTGACAGAACTGTGCATCTGCACACTTACACTTAAGCTTCAAGCTGCTTTAAAAAATAAATTCTTTAAACAATTACACCCTGATAGGCATCTAACAGTCAAACAAAGACCCAAGGAGTGCTTAAAGTCACCCAGGCCAGAAGGTGCCAATCCACACCACATTTTCCATTCCAGGCTTTTTCCATTTCGCTCCTTCCAATTTCTGATGCTTTCATTTGGTAGATTTCTACCAACATTTCTGCATTCAACCCTTCCTATCTCCACCCTCAGCCTCAGAAGAGGAAGCTTTCCAGCATCACAACAGGAGATACTGTTTCTGCGGTAAATGGTGTGACCTAGTTTGGAGGCTAAATAAAATGGGTGTGGTGGAAGCAGACAACAGATGTCGCAGTGGACCGTGTGGTTCTGTTGCTCATTGCAAGTTTTTGCCTTTTTCAGTATTACCTCCACATTATTTGTTCTGGATTTCTACAGAAGACAGCATCCTCTACATATTCCAAATTTAATGGAATCATACATAGACCAAGATTCCAATTGTGATAAAAAATACTATGAGTGTGAACAATACCTTGGGTACATGAAGATACCATCAATGTGGAATTGCAATACATAAAATGCTTGCCTGCCAATTTTTACGGAAAATATCATTTTATTTGCCAGCTGTCTGACTCAAATCCCTAAGGAATAATTTCAACACATTTCATAGTCAGAAGGTATGAGCCCACATTATTCACACCTCTCAACTGAATATCTGGCAACACATGGAGTCAAACACCAGCAATTAAGCGTCTGCCTCCAATTTAAAAATAATTCTTCAAGTCTAGCGTTTTTGTTTCGGAATATGCTTTTAGTTATGTGTTTACATTGCTTGCGTTTTAAATTATACATTTCTCCAAACGAGTAACGAGGCATCCCTTTCAAAAAGTACTCTTTCACTATATACTTTCTGCCTTCCTCTGGAATCAGACCTGAATGTAAGTAATGGCCCACATTCTTTCCATTCCTGTACCATCTTGTAGCGATTTACATTTTTCCAAACTTCTTTTGTCTTTAACATTTTATTTATTAACTATTATACGTAACTTCTGTGCTTCTGGGAAGCACATGTGTTTAAACAACCAGAAGTTAACTATTTTTTATTATTTAAATTCTTTTCCGGACTGGGTTTAACTCTTAGCTAATCTCATTATCCACGGAGTGTGGTCACAAGAACTGGTGTACAATTTTTTGGAACTCTTTAGATGTTAACATCAACATACAAAGCATATGTTTCAAACTCCATCTCAACAAACAATTCAGGAGTTTTGTTCACTAAACAGATTCAGACTCTACAATAATTCAAAGAATCTTTTGGATCAATTTTTTTTTAAATTATTATTATTCTGACCTATCTTTGATTCACTTGCTAACAAATGCTTCATAAAAGAAATGTTCATCTTTCAAGCATGAAAAAATTGTTTTCTTCTATTGTGAAAAACAAAACAAGAAAAGCAGAGGAAGAAATTATTTGTGAAGGCAAAGCAAGCTACAAGTTTCAACAACTTTTTAATAAGAGTACTACCTTATGTGACCACCAAAAATATCAGTTATTGGAGTCTGAACAAAGTCAGCCTGTCGAGTGACTGAGGATTTGTTGCGAGGTCCCACTTGCTCCCATTCATCTTCACTGCCTTCTCCTTGCTCATCTTGCTCCTCTTCCTCATGAACAGTCTGAACCTCAGGGCCATTGGAAACAGAGAGTTCTTAAAGTGAAGAAAAATAGTTTTGTGTTTATTTTCTTTTCAAATAAAACACGCAAACAGATACAAAACTTAAAAGGAAAATGTATATTAATTATTTTCAGAAGATAAAACATATTCAGAGATTACCCAGATTTCATAGGCCATAGACTTGAAAACATAAATGAGAATGAATATACTCCTGGCCCCCTCACATCTAGGCATATCCATGTATCAACAGAATGCAGCTCACTAATGACTGTATGTAAACAGATGCAGTTTTCTAATAAAGCTTCATATATTTTTAGTTATAAGATTATGGAGTAGAAAAATAGAAAGCGAAGTGTTACTCTGGAAGCATAATTATGGCATTATTAAATACAACTCCTTTTCTGCACAGATATTTTACAGAGAACCCAAGGCTTAGCAAATATTTTCTTTTCAAGTGCCAAGTCAGGAGGCTAAAGAAGGCTTAGCACACAGCCAGAGAACAAAATATTGAATGATCATTTTATATCATAAAAAATTTCTATCCTGCTGAAGAGAAATTGGTAATGGTGACCTGAACTCTACACTTGGCTAAGGCTAACTGTGTTTTGTTTCATTTTCAAACAGGGACCCAAACGTAAAGCCACTGTAAAATAAAATGGCATTTTAGACTACATACAAATCCTAACACTTATTTCAAAGAAAACTTTCCTCCATCTTTGTCAGTAAGACTTCTGAAATAATTTACTATGTTGTTTTGAATTAGCCATTAGTCTAGAAGTCTACTTCCAAAAAGAAATCTTCATCAACAGTGGCAAAATGCACTTCTATTTTCAATCTACCATGGAGAGAGCCAAATCTGCAGTAAACAATTTTAACATCAAAATGAATCCTTGAAAACATGGCATTCCCAACCTCAACATCTACTCCAAAAACTTCTCTATATTACATAATTAACATAAAAATAGGGGAAACATTTTTACAGACAAATACTTGAATGAAATAAAGTTTGCAACAAAGAAAACTAACTTTCATTAGGTGGAGAGAGAAGTTTCTTTAGGGTCAGCATTTCTTCATGTAGTCCATTAAGAATAAATCCCAAGTATTCTTCAGCATCCTCTTGCCTGCCCTGAATAAAATTGAAAGCATGAAAATGCCATATAATGTAAAAGCAGATAAGACATTCAACTTCTGGCCTTTCTATTAATTTTGCAAATTTATAAGCTACTTAGGTTACAGTGTTTTATGAAAGTCAAAGAATATTTAAGTTTTACTATAATATCTGTTCATTCCTACTTCAAAAAAAAACAAAAAAAACAATGAGTTAGTAACCTACAAGGACAGCAAATACTTAATAAATGTAAGCAAGTTTATATTTGTACAACTTTCTTTGGAATTAACACCAACAGTTGCAATCAAGCCCAAACCAGAAGATGGTTTGAGTCATTATCTGTCATTCAAATTGAAACTAAACCTTAAGTAGTGTCTCAGCAGACCTCCACCATTCCACGCTGAAACCCAAGCAGAAACAAACAACTGCACATTTCTAAAATAAAAACCAATGTTATCTTCTCTATAAAAATAGGCCGTCCTGTTCCATGATAAACCACGATTCTGATAAACCAAACTGTGAAACTTATCTGATAAACATCTTTATACAATGTAAGACCCATGGTAGTCTAGTATAATTACAACAAACTACCAACTAGTTGATTTTAGAGATACTTTGACATAGAAACTGATGTATGTCTTTTACATTGTTCTAACGATAGCGACTGTCTTGTGATGCAACTACAGAAGTCAAAGATTTTTAAGCCACACCTTCTCTGACAGACTTGACTTGATAACCGTCAGAAGTCTATAAATATACGTAGGTTCAAAGGCAGCTCCTGGTCGGATGTCCCTCACAATTTTATCACCTAAAGCTGCAAGACAAAGAGAAGTATTTATAAGTAGCAGCACACAGAAGCTTTACTACGTTCTACTAATGATACGTGAAATAAACGTTACAGATTTTGGAACCCCAAATCATCTTTTATAAACAGTTTTATTACAGTTTCAGCCATGTAACTCAAGTTCAGGATCCTTAAGACACAATTCTTATCCACAACACTTCTCAGAAAGCAGCATTCTACACTGACTTACTCATGGTCTGGAAAACTCTAAACTCTTTTTATATTCAACACTATGAAGATCGCAAGAATATCTATAACATCACACACACACAAAAATAATTCTACTTCTAAGCATGTTTTTTCTATTTAATTCTTTTGCTTTAAAGTGTTTATTATTTAATGGATCACTTTTCCTTCCTGCAAGAATAAAAATGAGAAAAAAAACCCAACCAAGAAACAGCATGACCCATCTGACATAAAAGTTCAACCTAATGCCAATAAACAGCATCAGAAAAAATACTTGAACACTAAAACACAATTAAAATGACCTAGAAGTAAAGTAAGTTGCATAAGACAGTAAGATTTGTTTTACAGAAACAAAACTTTAAAACAACAAACCACAGAAATGTCTGAACTGTTTGGAAATCACTGGAGCAACCAAGTCCTCATGGTATTTTCTTATAATGTTACATAAACACATTCCTGAAACTAATTTTTATTTCTATAAGTTTGCAATATAACAGACTTGGTTTAGAACAAAATAATGAAACTTATAAGAATGTACTTACATTGAAAAATATTGAAAAATACTCTATTCCTCACTATACAGCTGTCATTGACCTTAAACATATATCATCAAGAACGATATACTTTCAAAGTTTTCACATTGCTATAGTACACACATAGGATGCAGAAGAATTCAAAGCCATTGTCTGCAGGCACTCCCTAACTGCTGAAGAGATTTACTATGGTCCTTCCTTGTTCTGAAGTCATGTGTGTGTTGAATAGTTAAGAAAACACAATTGAGCAAGCTGTTAAACAAAACAGCTGGAAATGCATAAGGAAGGAAATGGAATAAACACAGTGAATACCAAACAATTTTGTTAGGAAGGGTATGTTCTCAGAAGACATACTAACAATTAAACAAACCCTTAAATAAAGCCCTATTCTTACTGTGCTTGCACATTTGGTCTACCAAACATAAGGCCTAACACACATGATTTCTTTATACAAAGCACCAATAAAGAAAAACAAGCCACTGGCAGGAAACTAAATGCAAGATGGCAAGAAAACCTAAAGGGCTGAAGACCCACAAGGAGGATCAAGCATCAGTATTTAAAGGTCTGAAGTACACCACACAGTACGGATCCCTACCCCAAAACTTTCCAATTGTGTTTTTAAAACCTTTTTTTCCCCCCTCCTCCCACTCACCTTGTTTTGCTTTAGGAGGTACAGGCATATTAGTGAACTCATTCATTAAACGAACACTGAAACAGAACGGAAGGAACAACTACACATGAGCAGCATGTTAAGACTTAAAGGGAAAAATAATAAGATTAGATCATTTTTATTACTGACAGCCAAAAATCCTAGACTACCAATACAGAAATCCAAATAAAGTTCAGACAAAAGCTAACCAGACCATTGCTAACATGCTGAGATGGGAAACCAGTTCTCACAGCTCACTTTTGCACACAGAACACTAATTAAAAACTACACTAAAGCAACAGAAGTATCTGCCTTCACAACTCAAATATAAAATACTAAGTTTATTATGAAAGCCAAGTGTCATTAAAAAAAACAACAGTTTTCTGTATGTATAATAGCATTCATCAACTACAGCAAGCAATCATTTCTTACATAATTCTTAATGAGCTTAATCAGATCACAGAATTATTATTATTTTTTTTTTAAAGGAGCTACTTACAAACTGTCTATCATTGGTGTTGATGTACACGGCCGCTGTGATTTTGAATACATTGGAATGGACTTCATTAAATGATACATTGGAGGGCAAGCAACCAAGGCTTGCAGGGTCTATGCAGTGGCATTAAGGAAATATTCAGAAAGCAACCTGTGTATTAACCAAATATTCAATCATATTCAAGATTATACGCAAACTTAATTCTTAATCCACTAACTACAGTGGAAACACTGGACAGTGGTATACTTCCTTCAAGTACAAAAGAACCACTTCAGTCAATGTACAAAAAGTAAACATAACAAGAACACACAAGCTGGTCAGGAAACAATTGCAGTTCTGAACTATTTAGACAGAGGTATGAGACACTGTTAAGAAGACTGCAACAGCTGCAGAGAACCCTGGATGCTGGGCTCAGTGATCCAACAAGCCCCTGGATTTTGTAGATGCTGACATTAAACACCTGAACAGCAGCACAGTATGTGAAGACAATGGCATTTCTAGAAAACTTACCAGATCAAACCAGGAAAAAAATTAGAAAAATTAAGCACATTTTTATAAATTAATTTTCCCAAGTTAAGGATACGGCATTGATGTAGCACCAGTTTCCTTTGTTGATCAGCCCTCGAGGTTGCAAAGACACTGGTTTATGTACTAGTTTTACATTTTCCAGTAATTCTGCAGAATAAGAAACGGTACATTTAGCATCAATTAAATGCACATGCTAGCAATCAAAACAAATATTTGCTGAGGCATTACAAAATAATACACATCCGTCAACAAGATTCCCAGAAACTTTAGCAAGTAAAGCTGATATGGAAACATCAGCTTACAGATTTCAGTAGACATTATCTTATGGCACAAATATCTTAAGTGCAAACAGCATAGACATATTAGCATACCTTTCTGAACAGTGTTTTATTTACTGCTTCTAAAACCGAGAGGATTATATGATAACATAGTTCTTACTGTTTTCACACTTTTGAATAGATCAGCAGTGGCAGAAGTTTAAAAATGAGAAATCACAGCACCTAAGTTTAAGTGAGTCACAGTTAGGGAATGGAAAGCAACCAGGGGAGCTTTTCCTAGAAGTCTGACCTGTTGTTTGGTTAATTAAATAGAACTTGTTCAAGGAAAATATTGGATTTGGCACATTTAAAGTTTGGGAAAGATGGACAAGCAGCATGCTCAACTACATACACACACACAAAAATAATCAAATAATCATAGCAATTCCCTACGGGGAAGATTATTTGGTTTTATAATAAACACAAAGGCTTCTAAAGTTTTTCACACCGAGGGTGGTGAGGCACTGGAACAGGTTGCCCAAGGAGGCTGTGGATGCCCCATCCCTTCAGGCATTCAAGGCCAGGCTGGATGTGGCTCTGAGCAGCCTGGTCTGCTGGCTGGTGATTCTGCACATAGCAGGGGGTTGGAACTGGATGAGCACTGTGGTCCTTTTCAACTCAGGCCATTCCATGACTCTAAAGCCATCATACTACACACTGCATGAACTTAAGAGCCGACACCATTCAATAGAAGGCATAAAGCAATAACCAAGTGGAGCAGGTAGCAGAATCACAAAGCCCATGTCTTTCTGCTTCCACTTTCTAAGACTGTGGTACCTGCTGACAGTGATTCTGATTAAAACCAGAAGACAGATCTCAGTGCTCTGTTATACACAGAACCTGGCACCTGAAAGGGCGCACAGCACAGCTACAGATGAAAACTCTTCCACACTGAAACACATTTGCCACGAAGTTATTAACACTCAAGTATTTCAAAATACATTACTAATGCTGCAAAGTTTTAAATACGCTGTCCACATCACTCAATCTTCTTAATTAATCACTGTTGAAAATTAGGACAAAGACAATGAGAATGACTCTTACATAACATCAACAAATACCTTTTCAGGTTAAATGTATTTTTCTTCATCTCCTGTCACACCGAATAAAAATATTACTATGACTTTAGCATCCTCTTGTGGTCATAAAATCACTTTCTAAACAATGTCTAAAGCAACTGCAGTGAGTTTCCTTTCAACGCAAAGATTTTTGTTTTTCATGATTACATTCCATACCACATTTTCATACCACATCTAAAATTAGGCAGTAATATAAACAAGAGCATCATAAGAAGGCAAAATACACTTACAATCATGAGAAAAGTTTCTTGAAGTGTCAGGACTGACTATAAAGCACACATCACTAACCAGGATGTGTGCTTTATAGCAAGGAATAGCTTTATAACCAAGGAATTCACATCCCTTTTGTTGGTACATAATAATGAAACATGGCTTTGGTTTGAAAACAAACGTAGAACAATGTTTCCACTGAATCTTTGTGACAGATGAAGCAATTCTTGCCTTATTTGCTACAGTCTTGGGAAAGCAATGAATCACTGTAGTCTTCACGAATTTCTTTCAGATATTTGATGTTAGAGCCACTGTCACTCCTACAGTCTCTTCTGAAAGAAATAAATCCAAATTTTCCATGCTTGCTGAAACAACATGGTTTCTGAATGTTACTTCTCTCCTCCACAACTGCATCTCCCTACAGAACTAAAGCCTGAGGATGTGCCAACTTCTTCATCAAGTCCCCAACAGTAACAACAGAGTTCTAAGAGCCATCTTCAATCTTTTCTACATAAACTGGTATTAACACAAACTGGGAATATAATTTAGTCTTCTTCAACTTTACTAGGGACACGTATGAACTCCCTAGAATTTACAGATCCTCTTATTCCCTACTACTATTACCAACTATTTTTCCTTCATACTGTCTGCATGCATTTGATTTGTGTTCTGACGCATCCTTTTTTTGTGTAGTGACAAAATACCATTAACAGGCTACTTTTCTTCATATTTCTGCAGTTTCAGTTGGAAAACAATCACATTATCTTTATTGGATTTTACCTTTTAATTTAAAAATTAAATTAAAATTAAATTATTAATATTTTAATTAATTAAATTAAAACTCCAGATTTATTCAAGTTTTAACTGCTTGTGTTCTTCATGTGAAATTCTGCCTGAAGCAAAACAAACTTTATATGCACTGTTGATTCCATCACCTACACAACAGAAACACTGCAAGGAAATGGGACTTACAATATCTTCTTAGATTCCCTCACTGAAATTTTTCCTACTTACACAATCAAGTGACCATCCCTTGACTCCTTGCCAGATACACACATCTTAGCCACTTACTAAAACTAACTCTTCAGTAATTTTTCCCCAACAAAGAGTAACATGAAGTCTATTCAAGTGTTTTACCTACTAGCCCTGATTCTCACCTCTTTATCCTGTGAGCTTTCATTCACATTTGAGGATTAAGAAGCCGCAGACTTCTGCAGGCTGAATCAAATAGCAGCAAATTAATTTCAAGGTGCCTGTGAACCATTAATCCCCCTGTAATCACTGGTGAAATTAATCTGTCTGTGGAAAAGACATTTGTGTTCTTGTGTCTCAAGCACCTGTTCTCAAATAAAAGCTGTACAGAAGGGCCTCAGCTCCAGCAGACGACTTGCTACTTTTGCTTGTTGAACAAAATTCATACCTGATTTGTACTTCTTTATGTATAAGCAAAGCACTCGATGTACTTCTTTCCAAGCAAGACTAGCATTAAATTAAAAAAAAAAAAAGAAAGGAAATGAAGAAACTCCCCTCTTTCCACAGAGCAAGGCACTGTATACATGGAATGCAAACTGTCGAGTAAACATTTTATAGTGAAATCAGTTGCATGTGATCTAGAGTATAATTCCTGCCTAAATTAACCACAATGAGAAGATGGATTCCTTTCACAGGAAAAGGATTGATAATCATACTGTTCATCTTCAGCAGTGAAGGTATAAAAGAAAACTGCATAGAAATACTGCTATTTCAATATACTAGAGACAAAAGAAAAGGCGCTGCTCCCACCTGGTGGCAAAAAACTGTACAGAAACAATCAATGCCTACGAAGTTAAAGCTGCAGCAACCGAGACAAGCTTACAACTGTGGTAAGCAGTCTTTCTGTTAAGGTTGCCACAAAATAGTCTTAAGATTCATCACCATCTGACAGCTGAAGTTTCTGAAAGCATGAAGTACTCTGCATACGCAGGTTCTTACAAACCACCATCTGTACGTACACATACTTTCATACAGTCAACTGTGTTTGTGACACCCAAGTGAAAGAGATAGAATTAGCTTTCCTCTCAACAGACAGTCGTAAGCTGTGAAACCATTATTGAGTGAACAAGTGGATGAGGCAGGTACACGCTGCAGGCTGTTCTGAACAGAAATCTCCACATCAGCTTCCAGTTGCAGTAGAAGAATGAGCTTCATCTTGATGTTGTCACATATGAGCTGCTGCTGTGCTTGTAAATTAACTTCTGGCATAAATCAGTGGGATTTCACACAAGGTTTTCCACATGAACTATTTCACAATTTCTAAATAATTTTTTTTGTGTAGTGACAAAATACCATTAACAGGCTATTTTTCTTCATATTTTTGCAGTTTCAGTTGGAAAACAATCACATTCATGTTCTAGTATTTCTCATTACAACCACAGACAATACCAACAGTCCAAGCCTTTATATCACACAATCTTCCTGAATGTACCCTTTGGACAGTTGCTTATGATTACCCTTTTAACAGGCAATGATAGCACTGTTTCTGAATAAAACAATATACTTTCAAATGGTTAAAGATAATTCTTCAATATTTGGAAGACGGATCATTCCAACAGCACATCAATAAATCCAATGACTGTCTCCTGAATTGGAATTTTTGAAGCAGAACCTGTTTAACCATCACACTTATGCTACTGTAAGCAATCAGGAATTTCAGCTACTTCGGTATAAATACATTAACACATTTTGCTGCAAGGCATTATACACGATCTGTACTGGATAATATGACACAAGCTTTTCTAACATGCCCTCCCATTTACAATATCACATAGCTGAATGCAGCTAGCCTTTTTTTTTTTTTTTTTTAGAAATCAGAGATCATTTGAGCACACTGTTTGAAAAGCAGCAGTACTTTTACTGCACCAGGCTCAAATGATAACATCTTGTAATATTTACTCAGCTAAACAGCTTATTTAAGTTACACCTTCCATAGCTGCATTGTAACAGTCACCCTAAGAACCTTCTCTATCAATACTGTACACTCCTGTTTACAAGCAAAGTGAATAGTACTCTTCTAACTGTAACATCTACTCGTGTGTAGTAACTATACCTGCAATCTTTATGGCTACAGGATCCTCTGAAACTGGAACAGGCCCCTCTTTGACTTCAACCTGTTTTTCAGGGACCAGAGTAGATGTGGCAGGAGGGGTATACTTAGTCTCAACATAGACCACAGATGTGGAAGCAGAGGGCTTGGAATTGTGAAAAAGACTAGCCCACGATTTCGCAGGCTGATTAACAGGGACTGATCCTGCAACCGTGGCTGTTGCCTCAGTAGTAGGTGAAGCTTCCTCAGGCTTAGCTTGGTCTGAGTCAGTGCTTTCCACAGTGTGCAATTCTACCCCATTGGCAGCTGTGTCCTCACCAGAGGATTCAAGTGTTTGTCCATTAGTAACGCCATGACTTTCAGTAGTATCAGTACCAGCATAAGGCTGTACAACAGCTGTCCTTAAAGGGCTATCTCTGCCAGTCTCTGAGGGGATGCAAAACTGTTCAGAATTAGTAACCCTGCATACCTCAGGCTGCCCTGCAGTCCTGGTATTGTCTAGTGCGCTAGAAACAGAATCATCAGAAACAGCTTCGTGAACGAAGTCCACAGAATTGTCCGGGCTGTTGCAAGTCCTTGGTGTGGCCAGAGAGGGGATGTCCCCCGTCAGTTCTGTATCCTCAGTGCTGTTAAGTCCCGAGGAATTTGCGTGGCCATTTACAAGAGCTTCTGTGGGAGCCATGCCATCACTGACATCTTCCAAATAACTGTAGTATCCAGGGGGTCTTTTTTTCTTCTTTTTACGCTCCCTCTGTCCAAGGCCTCCAGACAAGCCGTCATTATCAGCATTAGAACCACTATCCAGAGTGAGGGTTGGGTCAGAGAACTGGCAGTCAATTGAGTTGTAGTTTGTTTCACCGAGACTGTCATCAGGGGTTTTCTGAGCAGGTGCACAACTGAGAATGAATTCTGGAGCCTGAGGATTCAGAGTGCTTGAAATACTGTAGTCGGTGTTATTTAGTACAGAAGATTCCGTTTCAATGACTTCATTAACACCAAATTCAATTCTCTGATACTCCTCCCCTGAATAAAAGAAAGTAAACCTGAGTTACTGAATGACATCCATCAGAAAAACACAAAAAAAAAATCAAGAAAAAAATATATTTTCTTGCAACTCAGAAAACAAGCGGCCCTCCCTCAAACAAAAACCATTCTTATTCTTTGTGTCAAGCCTAAAGACCATTTCTGAAACATCATTTTCCTGAAATCTATGGAGCCTTTCTTAAGCTGAGTTTGTAATTTTCAAAACTGCTGCACTGTTCATGCAAGGAGCACCTGTTAAACTGGCCCACTAAGAGCAACTAAAACCCAGTGACATTAGCAATATTCTGAATTAATTACTGAGCAAGTGCACACAGAATATGGTGCAATATTTAACCCCACATTTCTTCCAAAGCCAGCTTTTTCCACAGAAAACTAGAAAGCACAAGCCTTTAAAAACTATCTCACACTTTTTCTTTTCCCTGGCATGTAAAGATTTATTATAATCATCAGTAACTGAAAAATACTTTTAATTGTATGGAAACAATGTGATTGCAGCTTTTTGAACTCTCTGCTCATCAATAACTTATCACATTTTACGCCAGCCAAATCCATGGCTATGACAATGTGATGTATTTCTCATCTTGAGATCAGTCTCATATAACACATAAGCCCCAATGTAAGTCAACATTCAACTCATATGTACAGCCAGTGCTGAAAAATTGCTGGGTTACGTTTTATAAATTCATTCTGACATCATCCTTAAAGAAATGAGACAAATACTCCCATAGTAAGCTGCAATATCACTATATATTGTCAGTCACGAAGCAATGCAATTTCATGGAACTCAGTTCTACAATGCATGTGCTCCAACTACTAACTTATTTATAACTAACTAATTCCATGAAGAGATAAAATTAATGAAATTTTGGCATCTCAGAATTGTTAAAGGTAAGCCCACGTTGTAGTGCTTGCTGGTCATTTAGTTTTGCAGGTCTTTCTATGATACAAATGTCACTGTTTCAAGGATATTTTTACATCTTATGCTCCCTCAAAAGATGTGAAGCTAAAAATCACATCTCAAACTTCTAAGACTGTTATCTGTTATCTTCCTATGGAAGGACAGTGTCTGCAGAATATTTTGATACATAACTGTCAACAAAACAGTTCCAAAACCTTTCAAGTGCAATCTAGAAAAGTCAGCTGAAAAATAGTAACTGAAAAAAAATAATGGTGAAACGTACAGATTTATATAATTCCAAATGAAGAGTAACACACATTCAATGTGTGCTGAGGTCTGATACATGCAATAACAATACTACAAATTAACCAACAAAAAAAAAATCAAGTAATAATATATCATTTTACATTATCAATATCAATTCACACATTTTCAAATATAATTTCATGCCAATATAAAAACGTAAATACAAATGTTAATTGCTTTTCTCTCAATGCTTTATTAACCAAATGAGAAGTAAACACATCTGATGTCTCAATCTAGCTGCCAGTTAGATCGAAGGAAACTTGCAAAGAGAGAGAAAAGCCACCCCATATTAATTTGATTACTTTCCTAAATGATGCTAACAAGATCCTGAACTTCAGACCTGGTTAGCTCTCCCCACACACCTGAGTGAATGCATTGTCCAACACCATGCCTGTCAAGCCACCTTTCACCAACTAATTTTGCAATCACTGCCTGTCACCACACAGAAGAGAGGGCTTAATTCTCTCTAAAATCAGCAGCTCAGAGGCAGGGAGGTGGAAAGATGCTGCTGATATCCACCTAAGAGGGAAGGGCTGGGAGATGTCAGGCATCACCTCACTCTGCTCAGCAGCAGCAGCACTAACTGGCTCACCAGGGCTATGCACAGGCTGACTCTGCACACAACCAGTCACTGCTTTGTTTGCTTGCAAATGCAGGGCATGGGTTTTAGGGGACACAGGACACCAATCCACATGGTAACTATTGCTGAATAGTTCATCTGCTTCTGTAGTAACTTGTTAGTTCACATACAAACTGAGAGCTAGTTCTCTACCACTGGTGAGATGTAATACTCAACAACGGTAAGAATGAATGATGTGCATTTCAAATTCCTACCAATTTCAAGTGATCTGGGACTTCTGTTTCTTCTTCAAAATCTCCGTTTTAAAAAAGAACAGTAATTGCTTTGAAAGAAAGACAGGGGTTTCCTTTTGTGAGTTAAGTCTACCCAGCTAAAAGTAACAGGTCTCAGGTCTATCCTCCTTGCCAGCTCCTCCTGTAAGCCTCCAGTACCTGCACTGCCCAAAACTAACCTGGCAAAAAAATAGTCCAAGAGAGTATTTTCTTCTGTACTGGCAGACTAATCAGCTTACCATGGACTAGACAATCACAAGAGCCAACCCAGGGCAAGAAGAGAGCAGAAAACAAAACATCGCTTATCACTGCAGCAGGTTAATTTAGCTGAAGGCGCAACATGAACTCGGTTGGACAAAATCTAGCCAAGAGCATAACTGATATTCTAGCATTAAATACAAATTAGGAGATTGCAAGCAAGGAATTTAACTTCACACCTTACAGCAGGAATTAAATAATAAGCAGCAATAGCTATCCTATAGTTAGTCTACAGGCTGCCTGGCAGAAGCTCATTTGCCAAAAGATCGTGTGAAACACCTCTGAAAAATGAGAGGTAATTTTTTTCTATTTGTTTTGATTTTCCACTTGGCTTCTGGGCAATTTTGTTTCAATCTAGTTCACAGTACAATTGGTGAACGGACTGAAACAGATGCATCTGTCAGGAACAACACCACAGCATATTGAAACAAGTATCAACAAATGTTCCCAGGACAAAGTCTATGTACAATAACCAAAGCTGTGAACACTTAGTACTAATTAGTCTGAATATTAAGAGCTTCAGCTGTGATTCAATTATTCCTAGTAAGTATTAACAAGTCTTCTAATTATGTAATAAAATTAAATACTGAGATAAGTAGAAAAAATTAGGCTACGGGGTGACAACGTGGTCAGTACGTGTCATCTCAATGTAATTACAAATATTCTGCATAAGCATAGCATTCCATTTTAGTTGCCACAGCTTCTTCTGCAGCCACCACAGCGATAATATGCATGCACAGTACAGTGCAAGCCCATTAAAAGACACTTCTCAGGCAAAACCTAATTCACTGTCATTACCTAATCTCAGGGTTGGGAGGGACTCTCTCAGGATCTAGGAATGATCTGAAAAACATTTGTACAAACCAACTTTCTGTACAGCTTGTTAACATCAAAATCTATGGTTTAAATCCATAGTTAGACAAAACAAAGTATGACTGGGCAACCCTGCCACTGGTACCAGTTTGGACCACCATAAAGCCCTTTTAATGAACTTGTCAAGCTCCTACTTAAACTTACTTGGGATCCTAAAACTAGTCTTACACTACATATAAAGCTGCCTGATTTTCAGTAGTGCTTCACATATGTTTTCAAGCAGGGCCTCTTTTATAACTATCTTATTTACTTTTAAATGCAAGGCCAAAGTTGCTAAGCGTAACAACTCATTTTAAACATGTGCATTTAGTCTTCATAAGTACTTCTGAGAAACGTCCAGTTAAACATTTGGATTAACTGGAAGAAGTTCTAGATGACATCTGTATCATTCTCATATGTCTGGGTAAATCTCAGCTTCGTTTACGTTCCCTAAGGTTCACAGAAGAAACTCCAGTAGTTTCTTCTGTACAAGTTCACCAGCAAGCTCCAGCATTTCACAGTTTTACAGTTACATTCTACACTATTTGAGCAGGATGTTAAGATTGTGGCAGCACAACTGAGAAGTACATCCACGCTGATCAGCTGATGTTTAACACAACATCTCCAAATAGTCCCATACAACATATGGGCTTAAAAAAAGTAACATGATGATACACTGCTGAGTTCTAAAGAAAAATAATTAAAGAGAACCTGTAGTAGTTTTAGGGAAAGTTTCAAAACTATGTTTTCAGAAGTGGATGTTGAATTCTGACCATGAAGAAACTTACCTGTGGACTTAATGCCGCATGAAACTGTTTCATTGTAAGGGGGAAGCTGTATAAAGAAATGAAATAAATTCTCATTAGTAACCATTTCATTTGAAACATCTGAATACCTTAAGAATAACCCACTGTTAAGGTCTAATTTTCTGAGAGTGTGTCTTGAACTCATGGTTCTATATTTAGAAAATCCTGTACTGTAGCTTCAAGTGTCCTTGCAGATTACCACCATTACTGAAAGATAAAGATTATCTTGGTTATACATCATAGGCTCATCAACTTCTAAACCACTTCATCTCACAATATCAAAATCCTCCTTCATCAACTAACTCACTACAATTTTAAAAACAAGAAAAAAAATCTTCTTTTCAAGCAAAAGCTGAAGCAAAGATAGACCATATTACTCAAGAAAAGATAAAAATCGAGCTTTGCACAAAAGGTTTGGGTGAATATCTTCTGACTCTCAACCTGGTCCAGCTACTAGCTGAAACTCTTCAAGGGTAACATTCTACCTAATGTCAAAGTAATTACATTTCACAAAAACAAGTACTTCTGATGATCAACCTAAGCATACCATAATCCCAGCACACGGAAACCATCTGGCATCGTTTTATGGACTTAAAGATTGACTGAACCTTTTCTATTGTATAATCAGAGGTGGGCCATTTCTAATCCCTCCATTGCCTCCCCCCAGACTTCCCCAGCAGCTGAATGCCTTCTCTTGTGCCTGCCATAAACTGGTTGCCACTGCTACATAGCAGCCCCACAGCTGCCTGGAGAACAGCTGAACTCTTTCTCTAGTGGGACACATGGGGCAGTTTGATGGGGTTATAACATTGATCTAACAGCATAACAAGTTTCAAATGCATCCAGTGAAGTCTTTGCTTTCACAGAACTGAAAATCCTTCCAGACTACCTATTTAAAGCACTGTGGACAATGGTGTATCAGAGGTAGCTAGAAAATACTTCTATAACTGCATTATTAGCAAGCACATAACAAGGATGCATATTGTAAAATCCATCTGTAAACAACAGAACATCTTAGTACATCAAATTTCCACATCAAAAATCAAAATGAAAGAGAGGCTCCAAGCTGTTAAGAACCTATTATCCAAATCAGCACTGAACACAGATTATATGTATTTTTACAGTTAAGAAAAAAACTACAATTTAAATCTACACTCATCATCCACAATGAAATTTGTAATTCATTCCTTTTTCTGATTCCAATGGCTTACTAAAATAGCAAGTGAAAAGAAAGACTAAAAAATACAATAGCCCACCTACTGGTCACTATAAATATCTGGTTAATCACCAGCATGTGTACAGAAGAGATTTCAGAATTTCCTTGTTTCGTGCAACTGGGTCATCTGAATAAATTCAGCCAAATGATATCTGAGAGAACGCATGTTCAAAAAGTTACTTCAGAAGAGAATTATAGACAACTTTTAGCTTTAATTAGTCTCTTGCCTCTGACAAGGCAAGTAAGGACTTGTAGGTAAGTAAGGGACTTCAGAAGGACAACAGCAGCAACAGGTGCTGGGATTCCCAGGGCTGGCACTGCCCTCAAACAGAATGTATGTCAAACACCACTTCAGTTTTATAATCTAGCTCTTCTTTTCCATCATCCAGATAATTAAAACATTGAAGTGAACCAGATCAAGGACAAATTTAAGGAACATCGTTCATCAGTTCTTGTTTTTGACAGCTAAGCAGCAAGCAGTACCCTTGAGACAGGTATCTGAAGCAGCCTTGCTTCATTTTACACTGAAGATTCATGTTTCCTCAACATACTTTGTGAGAGTAGCTCTAAAGAAGCCCAGATCCGACACTTTCATGTTAGGAGACCTGCTATGTGACACAAACATCACGCTGTTGTTACCGTATTTAATGGTGGGGAAACAGTAATAAGAACCAGAGGAAACATTGTACCTGAAGATCTGTTCTACACTGCTTCCCACCTTCCAGAGAAGACAACTTCTACTTGCCTTTCGGGATAGTTTTATCTTTCGATTTCTGACCCACAGCCTCTAAGCACTTTTATTGCTGTTAGAGGTATATTACACTAGTTATACATTCTCATTTCTCAGATCTCATGCACAGCCCTTTTGTTTTTAGAGTAGGTTTGATAATTAGAGTTTCATTTGAAAATACTTAAAAAAAACACACAAAAAAGAACTTCAAAAGGCTCAAAAGATTTAGAAGATCACCTTACTCACAACTAAGAACACTCCTGAAAGTTATCTACATTCACCTCTTAAGAAATAGGAAAGAAAAAGGCAATTAAATGGAAGTAATAGGGATGAATAACTCATCTTCCACATCTCATCGCTACATTGTCAGCTACTGCAGCTCTGAAAGATAACAGGAAGAAGGCAGAATAAATCCATTTCTTATTTCTAAAAATTGACTTAACATCCACAGACATGAAAAGACGACTCCTGTTAAATATCTCCAGTTTATCATTCTCTTAGCTTGCTAATTTACAAAGACTGCATAGTTATATTTCAAATATATGCCAAGAGGTGCAGCTTTAAAATGTTGATAAGGAAAAGTAGATCTTACCTCAACAGAGCAACGTGGAGTCACAAAGAACTGATTAAACTCATCAGGGCTGAACTCCCCAAAAATATACTACAAATAAAAGAGAAAAAAAAGATTCTTGTTAAAGAAGGACTTACATTCTGTGCAATTCATATATTCATAGTAAAGTGCCATTTATTTTAAGATACTGGCAAACAGAATGGCTCACATGTTCAAAGCCACAAACTTACCTGTTTGCATCTCAGCCCTCACCCTCCCTAAGTCTTTAGGGAACTATTTCAGCCACCAAAACTCTACACAATGCATTTTCCTTCAGACAAGAGAGGCATCCACAGCAGGAGTTCCAGCGCAACCCATGACCAATTCTAAACCAACAAACAGTGAGACACTGGAGTTGTGTCAGCTCAGATACGCCCCACATAGGATCAGTTTTACCTTCTAGAACAGCACAGATTCCTACACATCATGCCACTTCCCTGAGCAATACTATTACTGAGACAAGTTTAGATGAAAAAGTCACATGGAGATGAGACGGGATCTCGCTTTCTTATCCATATATATTACCATGGATATTACATAAACCAAAATACGTATGGCAATGTAAAAATACTCCCAAAATTACCAGATTACAGTAGTGAAAAGCTAAACTTCATTACTCCAAGGAATTCACAAAAATTCTTTTTAAGACAAAAATTAAGCTTGCTTCCGAGCAGAATCGCACAGAATCACAGAATAGCCCAGGTTGGAAGGGACCTCAAGGATCACCAATCTCCAACCCCGCTGCCACAGGCAGGACCACCAACCTCCACATTTAATACCAGACCAGGCTGCCCAGGGCCCCATCCAACCTGGCCTTGAACACCTCCAGGAACGGGGCATCCACAGCCTCTCTGGGCAGCTGTTCCAGCACCTCACCACTCTCGTATAAAGAACTTCTCTCTGTCATCCAATCTAAAAATTACAGCCAATTACAGTTTGGCACTTAACTATGTTTTTCAGAAATCAATAAATCTACACCCCCTGATAAACATGGGCATCAGCTTGCAGAGCATGCCAAACAGCAATCAATGATGTCAATGGCAACTCGCAAGGTAGAGCAAGAATAATGCTTGGAGGAGAGCCTGGTCTTCTACGAACACCAGATTTGGGAATAAAGCTCTGTCATGACATCACAGAGCTGTGAAAATTTCCTATTGTAATGTTGGCCCTAGACCTACATTTAAAGATACATAATCCCCAAGAGGCTTAATTCAGAGTTAAATCTGATCCATCTTCCAACTACCCTGCAGCCTACGCACAAGCTTCCTGCTCCAGCTTCCAAGAAGCAATCCTCTCTCCTTCCAGCAGTACGTATTTTGCATTGCATTTCTCCTGCTGCTCCCCAGATTATCTACCTTTAAAGAATAACCATCAACTTGGCATTAAGAGCACTCATGGATCCTTTAAATAACTCGAAAGCCTGCTGGCAAGCTCCATATCTGCCACAGATGAAGAACAGTGTGAAAATACTCTCAAATTCTGAATTTCAACTGTCTTCCACCTGCAGCTAATAGTAGAAAAGCAGATGGAAAATGACAGTCTCTCCTGCAGGGGGTTGAAGAGGAGGAGACTTTGTAGAACTCTTGGGAGAAACAAATCCACCTCTACCACCTTTCCACTTTCCCACCACTGCTTTCAGACCTCTGCTTAGAATGGAAAAACAAGCCAGTAAACCTGGGGAGTACTGATGGATCTGTTCCATTTTGCAATTCACAACTGCAACCAAATCTGACCATATGCCAGACACATATAATATGTTACTAAACCTATCAAAATGTTGTAATTAAAGGTTTGGAACTAAACTCAAAACATTCTTATGTAATATAAAAAAGCTGCTACACACCAGAATCAGATACAACTGGAGTTCTGAGCTCCTGTTATCACAATATAAAGAGACCCTTCCCTTTGCTTCCCTCTAAACTAAAATTGTGACACATTAGAACATTCTACAAACACTCTGCAGATGTAGTTTCTTTTAAAAGGGTCTATCACTTTTCCAGTGTATTTGTTTCTTTCCTACAAGCTGAGAGTACTGGATGAGCCCACTGAAGTTGGCAGGGATTGAATTCCCCTGTCTCAAGTACATGCCTCCCAAAGTTCTGTCAAACACCTCTTTTAGAGCAACACTCCCAGGATTTCTTAACAGTCATTTGAAACACCAATAAAATCGACAATAAAACTGAAATGCCTTTTTAAACTAATCCCTATAATTTGATTACAATAGTGTGAAATGTCTGCATTCCAGCAAATTTTATGCCATTTTGAACAAAGAGTTCCATCAATGACATCATCTTTAAATTGTCAATGCTAACTGCATCTGTTTGTATCACAAATTACAGAATGATAATTAACAAATAAATCCTCACCAAAAAATTTTGTTTTCCATAGCACAGTAATAAAAGCAGAAGCACTTTTCCAGCTCTATAACTGACTGCCATAACCAATCAAGCAAACATCTTAAATAAGCAAACAAAAGCAGCAGCAACACAACACATTCCAAAAGGAGAAAAATACTCTTGGAGGACTCCAAAGGATCACAATGCCTGACCTGCAAGCTCTTTCCATGTGGACTGTTGGGTTTTTTTGCTGTGCTCTCCCTTAAGCACTTCCAAAACGTTACCCCCTGCCTGGAATGCAATCTCTGCTGCTGTTCCAGTGCAGCCACACAAACCCTCTCCAGAGGAGCACACATTACACAGCACTTGTCCTAGAAAAGTGGGTAGAAATAGCACTGCTCATGCATCATTATCTTGGCATCACCTGTGCAATGAGAAAGCTAGGAAAATGAAGTGTCAACTCTTGCTTTCAAGCAGCATTAAATTGGCTTTCATCTGATAACCAACAGCTTCAGATCTTGCAGTCAAATTAGTTTCAATTGCAAACGCTCCCACTTCAACGGCTTCTCCACAGGAGTAAAAAAGAAAATTAAAAAAAATGCAGTTTTTACTTGCTGGTGGCAAAAAATAATTCAACTCTATCTAAGCAGAAGGCATAACGAGTAAAAACTAGTTCACATATACATAAACTATTCAGTTATTTCACATATCCCATAACTACACAATCTTGCTCATGGAGATGTCTAATACTAAGTATGCTTTGTGCAAGTTCTCAGGATAAGCTCAAGCAGAGGAAGGAATTGACCCCTGCAGACAGTGGTGGCAACAGAAAGCTGTGTGTCTGAGCACACCTGGTGTCATCAGTAGAGCAAATGCTCTTAAATCAGCCATCCCAGCAGTATGTAAAGTGCTTCTCTCACACCCTTTACTTCACCCACACACGTGGTCAAGTTTTCTTGAAAAGGGAAAGACAACCTTTCTTCAGCTCTCCTTCCTTTTGAGGCTGAAATCCATTAAGTCTTATCTTAGTACATGGACCATCACTTGTTTGATACGAAACCTTCTGATCTTTCAAATCCCATGAAACATATTGCTTAAAAAACACCAGACAAAATGGGCAAGCTCCCATATTCAGGAGCTAAGATTGACCACTGGTTGTCTTCACGGCTGTATCACAGCCAAAACAGCAGTATTTTAGGCAAATAAGTTTCTGGAAAGAAAAATGCTATGCAAATATATCCTCTAGAAAGACTGAACAAAAAAATCCCCCAAACTATGAAATATTAAATTGTCTATTTTTGTAAAAAAGAACTACAGAAATAAGGTTGTTTTAGGGCAGAGGGGCTGCACATAAATGCTTTTAACACTTGAAAACCCAATGAATTGTGAGCAAACTTAGCCCAGCTTTGAGACCTTTATCACTAGCCTGGAGCTTGGAACTAGAACATGAACAAATGCAGGCAGTGCCTGGAGAAAGATTTGAGCTAGGTAAATGTAGGTCAGCAGAGACCATGAGTCAGTGCAACTCTGCCTTCCTACCATTTAAGCAATCATAGGCTTAAGAAAATAAATAAATAAGAATGCCAACACTGCATGACTGTGCTCTCCCTTTTTTGTCAGTTAGGATTTCTTGGACCTTATTACAGAACCCCTACAGCTAAAGGAAGTTTGGCATTTTTCACACGTCTCTGACTAGTACGAACACAAGCTGACCAACTTATCATGAAGACTCTATTTCAAATATTCACAAAAGCAGAGCAGGCTGTGCCCTTCCATTACTACTAGCTTTCATCAACGATGTAACATTTTAAGTAAGAACAATGCACTGATCTGTAATCATAAAGATATCTGCCAAAACTCTGTCATCTTATACCAAAACCAATTCTGTTCATGTACTCGCCTCTTTTTGTTACCAAAAATAAGGTACTTACTGGAATTCTTGCATTTCAAACAAACAGCAGCTGCTACAAAGAGTAACTAGCTTGAAGAAGCTGGCTATAGTTAGGGAGGAAAAGGTGGAGTAGAATAAAAATCATCCCATCACCTTACACAGACATCATTTACTTTATGAGAGCAGCATACCCTCCACACCCATGGGAAGACTCATTATCTTCCATCCTCCAAAGCAGGGCAGTTTCAGCAATGCCACCTCCATATTTCTCATTCACAGCTTTTCCCTCTGAAGATTTTTCTTCTGCAAAGAAGAAAGAGGCTCCAAACCAACAGCCACTACTTTATTTTTTAAGTAATGCTAGAACAGAGGTGAAGATTTTGTTTTTAATGAGAGCAATGCACTTTTATCATTTACTTGGGAACACAAAGCAATCACCCAGTGGCAGGAGGGCTGTAGCCTCACTTCACAGAGCTCTTACTTCTTTGCTAACACCAGCTCCAAGCTGGTTGATAGCAATTAGCAGACATCGAGCCCAATGCTCTGCTTGCACTGAACATGTTATTGCATGAGTGTGCAAATTCTGAACTTTTCCAATAACGAAAACAAAAAATAATCTGATTTATGATAGCACAACAAGCACTGCAGCATGAAGCTGGAACATGAAGTTGTTCTAGAATACAGCCAGCCTAACTACTATTTTGTTGTAAGTGAGACAGTCAAAACAACCTCTTACTAATTTTATCTAATACTTCCCAGCAGAAATACCTCAGTGTTAGCCCTTGTTCTTCTCTGCCAGACTATAATCATTAGGGCTGTAACCT